GGACAGCGCTGTGCGTGGAGACAGGTAATGCAGGTAAGAAGAGTATGTGCCCCAGCGCTGCAACATCTCATTTTCTGTAACCGTACTGTAAACTTCCCTGTTTGTGGAAGAGACATTCCATGCTGCAGGCAAATTCACCAAGGGGCTGAGTGGATTTTCTTGAGCACATCAGTTTTGTACTTAGGAGAGCACAATGTTCCATTAATTTATTTTTCACCCTCTAAGAACAGGATTTGGGACTTAGACTTTTTTAAAGTTCTGTGACAGACAGTCAGCACTCTTACAAAATACTTTACAAAAAAAGAGGTGATATGATGTCTACAGCAAAGCAGCAAAGCCTGTGGATTTCAGGCATCGTTTCCTGCTTTGCATTCATGATTGCTCATGAGATACCATCCATGTTCAGTGCCAGGGCTGAGATCTTGTTCTTAGCAATGCCTTGCAGGCTTGTTGAATTACCAGGTACTATGAGTTTAGTGTTGTAAAATCTTTTTGACTTCTCAAAATAATTTGGTTCCTAATTATTTGTCTTAATATAAGTGATTTACAAGCTTAAAGAGTGCTGCTGCCCTTTTTCACCTCTAATTATTTTCATTTGAGAGGAAATCAATGATAGCCAAGAATTTCTTTGTCACAAAAAGTTTAACATCTTCAGGCATGTTTGACAATGTCCTTGTTACAGAGCCAAGACCATCTTTTCAAACATCAGCTTATCCAATATTTTTGTTATTTTCTTGTCATTAATGTTCTTTTGGACAGCATCTTTTTTTTTCACTTCTGGATGCTGCCTTTCCACCACCCCCCCCCCCGCCATTATCTTTCTTTTTAATTTACAAACTCAAAAAACCTGTTTCATCCCTACTGCCTGTGCTTTGAACAGCTTTCATTATTTCACTATTCAGACCTCAAGGAAACTGTATTTCTTGCAAGGGGAGAGTGTCTTCCCTACCTATAAGTGGGCCATAGCCTCTCACCTACAGCAATAGGTAGAGATTGCTAGTAGTAATGTTCGTTAAAGCCTTTAAATTTGAATTATTCAATGAGAAGTCACTGAACTTGCAAAACCATTCACGGTTAATATCAAATAATTAAAAGACAAGACATTTTGCGTTGGCTATCAAGGGATTTTTAGGCTCTTTATTCAATCCAGTCGAAAATGGTTGCTCACCTCTGAGAAAGAAAAGCTGTAGAGAAAAGTCATAAAATAAATCTCTGGTAGAATCAACAGCAGGATTCATCTCCCATGGCCTGGCCAAAACCATGGGATATACATAGGTTATAAGGAAGTAGTGGGGGATTAACATAGTGCTTCTGTATAGGTATATTTGAGGTAAGTGTGATGTGCTGACAGCTCAGTTCAGACAGCTGGAAATACCAGTGATATGTTGGCAGTGCACATACCACAGAGATGTTCTTGTAAAGTAGCTTGCACATATTCAGTACTTAAAATTTTTACAACAGCATCTTTTGAGAGGACTAGATCAAAGACCAACTGGTATCACTGAGGGGGCACTCACAATTACAATTACAATTCAAAGAAATTAGGTTACATGTTCTGACAAAAATATATCTTGCCAAGATTGCTTGAAGATAGAACTTGATGCCTCAGTCAATTATAATCCGAGTATGCTGCCACCAATCCAGTAGATTTCTTTGTTCCCTTGTACCTTCTTTGCTTTACTGGGTTGGGTGGTATAACACAAACATCTACACTTGATGTACTCTGACCCAAACATTAACAGGAATGATAATGTTTCTGAAGAAGATATAGGTAAGCAGAACTATTATTTTAATATAAAATCTCATCACAGTGGCCTTTGTAACTACAAGAACACTTTGACCAAGCTTACGCTCAGAAGAAACTGGGTCTGGGAGAGACCTCAAAAGCTCATCTAAGCCATCCTCTCAAGGTTCACGCCAGATTCAACTTGGCCTAGATTGTTCCAGGATACTTAATACACCTGTACGGAATAATCTCTGATGTTGAAGATCTCACATGACCTCACCTGCCTTCTCCGGCACTTCCTTCTACTGTTTTTGCTATTAGAAAGCTTTTCCTAATGTCTAGCCGCAAACTTTTGTGCTGCAACTTTTTTCTTCTCCTCCATACTTAAAACTGACTTTACCATAATGCTCACAGGGAGGTGGTAGAAATAAATGAAGTGATTTTGTGGGTATAGGAAACACTTCGTGTGGGTGCAGCTTTTTCTGGCACAGCTGAGTTTTTACAGGTACCACTTCTGTATTTTTGAGAGACTAAAATGGTCTCTTCCAGCTAAAAACCGCACAAATTGGCATAGCCAGTACGAATCTTATCTAAGTACATATTCAGGTAGTGTCAAGGCTTTGTATTTTTGGCTTCACACATACATTAATCTGTAGTTAACTTGAGAGAAGTTCTGGGCTACTGTCCCATAAAAAAATGAGTCACAGGTCCCTTTTGTATAAGTTTTTTCATTGGGACAATGACCCAGGGACTGTACTCAGCACTATTTCAAGTACAAATGTGTTAAGATGCTAACTATTGATAAAATTATAAAGTTTCCGTGATACCATATCAGGTGGAAGATATGCTGGCCAGAGACACTGAGGCAGAAGCAAATTGTACTCACATATAAATTTCTCAAGGATATTTCTGACCAGCCTCAGATCCATCAGGATTTGGGATAAGTGGAGTTATTCTGCCTGCTGTGAATTCCACACTTCAACCTTCTCTTCACTTCTGTCTGACGGGTTTTCTGGACAGCAGCAATGATGGGGGTGTGCTTACTTAGTAAAAAGGCGATTTTAGCTCCTGATTCTGCAGTTCAGTGCCTGACAGAAGTCTTTGTGTCTCTATCCACGTATTTGGAGTTTGTGTAATGGCACACAGAATTTCAGAGCAAATGTTTATATTTCGGAGCAAGATGCTTATATTTCTCCTTCCCTCTGCCCATTATATGTGAGCAGAAATGTTCCCTCTTCTGTGGGTTTTCAGAAGCACTTTGGATATCTTTGTGTCCAGATAGAGAATAAAGAATGCCCTAACAAATGTGGGGGGGATACCCATTACGCTGACTTCAAGAATATGTATTTGCCCTTCTCACCCTAGTCTCAGGTGAATCCATTAAAACATAATCATCCACATATTCAGCAATTTTGCAGTAGCTGCTGAGAGATGCTTGTGTCCTCTGAATCCTCATGTTATGGTCTCACCATGTGATGTTTGCGTGCTGCACTGCTCTGCATTTTCCTGCACTTTTTTTAAATGCTGGGAAACATTTCTGAAGATCTTAATGTTTTTGATAGCTCACAGATGTTGATTATTCCACTGGGCAGATCTTGGGTTGTGGCTCTAATGCTTCAGAAAAAATACATGGACTTGCTTTTGTCTTCTCCCTGGAGCATATACTATCACCACAGAAGAGGTGTGGAAACTGACAACTCAACACCTGCAACAAAGTCCCTACCAAACTCTATTAAACTGAAGAATTCAGCTGCTTAAATGCCATGAGAGAATTCTGTTGATTTGTAAAGAGTAAGCTTGTTGTGCTCTAAGTATTTTGACAGATCTTCAGCTGGTATAAATAATCACCATCAGTGAAAAAAAAAAAGCCTCTTGAATTTGCTTGAGAATTTGGCCATATATCAATGAAGTTTTCAAGCCAAAAAAAACCCCAACCAACCAACCAACCAAAAAAAAACCACAAAAACAAACAAAAAACCCCCCAAAACAACAAAAAAAAACCCACCAAAATCAAACCAACCCAACCAAACAAAAAAACACAAATCAAAACAAAACCAGGCATATCAATTATGTTTGTCCTGGCATTGTATCTAATGGCTGTTTAGCTATCCTAAAAGTACTATAGATTAGATTATTTTAGAGCTAGGGGATTTTCTTAAAGTATTATAGACTTTTTGTTACATTGAAGCTATCCTTTCCAGACAACACTGACTTTTAGGTACCATTGTTATCGATGACCATTCCTCAGTGCAGGACAGACTTAGCTAAGACATATCTCTGTTTTAAGGATATGAAAATAACAGATGGGATCCATCTGCCTGCCATGCATAGGCAGGAAGCAGACTTCTCCCTTTAGCTACGTGATGTTATCTTCAGCCTCAGGATGTTATTTGACTTCTTCTTAAGACACAAAAATAGTTGTGAAGAAACTAAATCTTGCAGCAGTTTTAGAGCTTCTGTAACTTATTTTCATTAGCCTTAATAGGATGAATTTGTGTGTTATCTGGTGCTTGAACTGGTAGCCAATTTTCCCAGTGTGCTTGATAATGGATTCATGCAGCAGCATACTTTACAAGATCATTTTTATGTTGCATTTTCAGGAAACCAATTTGGTTTGCAGGTTGATAGTTTTTAACTGGTGTTGGGAAAGGGGGGAGGAGTAGCTGAGGCATCAACACACATTGATTGAAGTATAGGTGTGTTCTTAGGTTATGTGTTATGTGTTATAGAATAACACAGTGTACAGTATCACTGTGATCTACCACACCTATTCCAGGACTTGTGAAGAGTTCTCTGGTACTGTTATTTGTTATTGCCTGAAAAGTACAGTCAGCATGAGCTAGGGTTGTTTGTGCAGGTGGAGCCGGTTCTAGTACCCTTATTCACTGAAAGATAAACTTAACTTCTGCTAGAGCGTGCACAGAGTTTCTGAAACACTAAATAGCACATAAGAGTAAAGGGATGCTTTGCATTACTGTAGAATGGTCAGGATGCTGTCCTAGCATTACCTGGTGTTTTGTTCTCTGACACCTTTTGATTGTAATTGAAGTGTGAGATACAGTCATTCCATTTATGAAACACTAAATAAGTGCAATGAAGTGGTTTCTCCACAAACCATTAATTAAAAATAAAAATGAAATAAAAAACAAAACAAAAAAAAAAAACCAAACAAAAAAAACCCACACCAAAAAAAACCAACAAAACAAACAAACAAAACCAAAAAACCTACCACACAAAATGCTAAAATGTTTTAATTTTTTATGTTTAATTTTAGTCTTGGAACTGAACCAGGTGATTATTCCTACTTACGGAACTGTACCGGATCAACAAAACCTTCATACTGCTGAATGGGTGGGTACTTCTTTACTTTAACTTGATTGCCTGTAATATATGCTCACATAGATATGCAGCAGACAGTAGCTGTTCCAGAAAACTAGCATTCCTTTGCATTTGCAGCACATGCAGTTCACCTGTGTTGTTGAATCTGAGTTGCTGTTATCCCCATTTCCCTAAAGTTACCTGAAGTCATTGACTCAGATGTGAAAGTACAGGCGCTGGACTCATTTAAGAGTGACCCATATATATTCACTGTAAATCAATACATACACATAGACCTCCTCTCTCTATGTAATTTTGTTCACAAATGTATAGGGTTTGTGTGTGTAAGGATAAATAGTTCTGAACACACCCTACATATAAACACACATATCCTGTAAATTCATACACACCCAGGTATTAGTTGGCTGACAGGTGAGTTCAGGATTCATTTTTACAGAAAGCTTGGAGACACCAGGAAATTCCTTACTTCAGATACTGAAGTGATAAGAAGGAAAAAGACCAAGAGGTGTCTGTTCCCTTTACCAAAGTTCAAATTTGCCAGCTTGCCTGATGTTCTCTGCAGTTAACAGGCTGCTGGCTCTAGCTCAAGATCCCCTGCCTCAAATCTCATAGAAAACCAATACCCACGGTAACGGGAAATGAGTTTCCTTCTGGAAGGTGGATACCCTTGCCTCCCCTGCCTCTGTGTTTTTGCAGCTTCATTTGAAGCTGCTTCAGTCTCTGGAAAAGTGTTTAAACATTTTTGGAAGCATGAGGTGCAACCAAGAGCTTTCATTTCCCAACTGAGTGCTCTCCTTCTTAGACCCTCTGTGGTTCATTGAATTTTTTTTATGTATTTATAGGAAGTGGAATAGCATCAAAACAGCTGGACTGTCATATACCTTGTGGTTAGAACAGTCTCTTCTAGCAACCTTCATAGAATTTATTTTTATTTCTCCTGAAAATTGATGGTCAAAATCAATTTTTATTTTTGGGTATTTTTATATATGTATAATTTTTATTTTGCTAGTAAACTCATGTTTACTAGCAGTTGTAATTTCTTCTCAGTTTTAGCAGCATCTTCTCTGCATTGCTACTTCCGTGTCAGGTCCCCCTTGTCATTCACTGGGTAGTTTCAGTGAGTTGGAGGAGCCAGAAAGATAAAATTGAGATATGCTGAACCTGATTGCTAAATGAATGAGGGCAAATTTCAGGTAGAAATGGAAACCAAAGAAGAAGCCTAACCTTAAATGATTGAATAGAAGGCAAGTACTATGCCTTTTGTATAAACCTAGATGATGCTTTGCACCTGGAAGCATTCTAGAAATTTTATTTCATTTTGCAAGTCATTCTGGAGTAGCCAAAACTAAGTAAGTTATTGGCTAATAGAAGCAGTCCTGTTCTTCTTATGGTACTGTCTCTAATTGCAGGGTCATATGCTAAGTTTGCCACAAGATCCCTGCTCCATTTGACACATGAATAGGATAATTATCTTCAAGAAGCCCAAATTCTGTGTGAATGTTGTTTGTACTACTTCAGCAAGGCGTAAATGTGGCAGGAAATTACAGTGAAGGAATTAAAGGCTCTTATGACCAGTGAAACTGAGTTCAGTTCTAGATAACTGGACTTGTGAAGTCACAGCCAGCTTTTGTTTGTTTCCTGAGTGTCAAAGGAGACCATCTCTGGCCCCAGTTTGCGTTAGTTCAAAGTAGTGACTCTCTCTTTGAAGAGAGAGAATTGCTGAGCTCTCTGGGAAAAGTCACTGTCCTGGTGTCTCAAGCTGAACTCCAAATTTAGGAGACAGTGGACAGGTTTTGGCATTGATGTCTAGATGCCTTATGTGATCACTGTTAAAATGAGCATTATACTGTTACTTTACGTCCTGGTGGTTCTTTTAAAATTAAATTTTTCAACATTTGCAGAACATTGGGATTCAATGAGAAGAAAACCACAGGCATATTCAGAAAAAAATCTCTATTTTAAGCATCTGGGCTATTTAGATGTGGTGTAACAAAAAAAAAAAAGACATTAAATAAAGAAGATAATAAGGAGTATTCCATAAATAGGAGCAGATTCCATAACTACAAGGAGCCATAGAAGTATGTCATGTGATTGTACAATGAAATCATATATCATAAACAATATGTACAAGGAAGACAAAATTGCATAGACATCATTAATTCAAGCCTTTTCTAGCTCATGTTTTATTTTATAGCTTGTCTGCTTTATAGGTACATAGTTTGAATTTGTGTGTGACAATAAGATTTTTTTTGAGAGTCAACATGTTCAGAGAGGAGGTTAACTTCTTCAAACTGTCTGTTACTGCTGCCCCTCACATACAATTTCTTCCACAAGAATGCTTCTGGGAAGTTCAAGAGAGTGAATTTCCCAACTCTTGCATCTCCAGAAAGATGGGAGTTGCTGAAAAGCAGGTTTTCAGCAGTGCACTTTCTTTATTTTATTTAAAAGTAAGGCCATTTGGTCTCTCTCTAGTCAGGAGCGACTGGAATTCGTCCTGCAGCCAGCAGCAACCTGACGCTTAGACAGGAAGTCAAGTGGGTGTCTGGTCCAAACTTAGCTCAGGGGACAAGGCATCCCAATGTCTGGCCAGTTACCAGCTGCTTTCTGCTGACAGAAATGTGTGACTGTAATGACACCCCATATTTTTTCTAATTGTCTTTAGTCTATTTCAATTTTTTACATAGCAAAAATTCCTTTGCATGTTGAGGAAGTGAAAGAAAAACCTTCTTCTGATTAAGTGCTTGCTAATATTCTCATTGTTGCTAAAAAGAGAACTAAAACAGTCCTCTGTTGTTATTAACAAATATGAGTAACAAGGGAAAATACTAAAGGCACAACAGTTTTATGGCCCTACAGACACAGACTAGCATTATTATGCAATATGCAAATAACATACCTCTTCCAGTATGATCTTATATATTATATATATCAATGGCATCCAGAAATAAATGCTTGTGTTGGTCCTAATGTCAGAAAGTTGTGTCTATTAGTTGCTCAGAAGAGAAAGTAATAAAAAATCTTGTTATATGTCTGTGATAGTAAGAAGAACTTCCTATTTCTGTAACATTTTCTTCAAATGATCTCGAAATCCTTTACAAATAATGATGTTTCATGATATCCTGGTAATATAATGTTTTTCTTTTCATTTACTTGATTTGAAGTTTCCTGAGGTGGGTAGAGAGAAATAACTGTGCTCCTGAACCAACTCACTGAATTTTTCACCTTTGTAAAACCCACAACTGAAGTGCAACCTGCTGTCCCCGTGGGACTGTCACTGTGCCCCTGCAGAAGGATTTTTTGCAGGTGCCTTGTCATCAGAGGCAATATTGCACAGGCTTTGCTCTGCTCTCTTCTTTCCCAGTACTGATTTATTCCCTGGCATGCCACAGGAAGCTGTTCTGAAGCATATCTGAAAATTATGTGAGGTTGCAGACAAGTAATTTATCCCTCCGGTAACGATTACATTTGGTGCTATTGACAGTCACACCAAAGATTCATGCAGGCAAAATAAAACACTTCTTTTATCCTTTCAGTTAGATAAATCATTCCTGCGAAATCTCTTGTTATTAAAAAAAAATCACCTTACAATACTGTGCTTGTTCAGGGTGTAGTAAACAATAAATAACTGCAATTCCCGTGCACATATTTTTCTTCATGCTTGTCTTGGTGCTGCCCTTCCCTCCCATTATCCCCACTGAATGTTTAACTATATAATGCCTAGAGAACCCTGGAAAAGTGATCAGGTTTCTCAGTAGTGCAACTGTTTTTCCTTGTCTGGCATGAAGCATTGCTGTTTCTGAAAGGAGCTTTCCACTTGCATGGTCTCCTTTCATCTTCTACTGCAGGCATCACATGTAGCCATGACTACAGGAGCAGTCTCAAGAGTGAGACACGGCAACTCCCCTTAGATACCAGCAAGCCTGGTTATACTTGCGGAGGGGCACATGGAAATCTCCCTCCTAAGGAGCTCTGAGTCAAGAGGGTGTTTGGATGTTCCATAATGTGGGCATTTGAAGCCAAACCAGTTACTTCAGCCTTTACAGCCCTGTGTGGAGGGGCAAGCTTGTCTTCATGTCCCACTTGCCCCTTCTCTGAGTGCCGCTGTGTCCCAGGGCTGGGAGAGCAGATGCTGTTGGCTGGTGACTGCTTGTGCTGGATTACCAAAGAGTGCAGGAAGCTCCTTATTCCTCTGCTGAGGTGGCTGCTGGGGGATGGGATCAGGGAGGATGAAGAGAAGGAAGGGAAGGGGAAGGGGTGTGCATGGCAGAGGACCTCTTATGGCCAGCACCTCCAGTGTGACTACGTCATTGCAGCACTTCCCAGCTCCAGCAGGATTCCAGAATCTCTGTGTACCTCTGTTGGCAGCAAGGGCCCAAGCAGTGGGGATGTGTAACAAGCATTTGGCGCTGAGGAGGTGGTGTCTGCATTTATACATGTTTCTGGGCTTTTTGTTACCACAGGCTCCTTCCAGTCTTATTCCTTGGAGTGAAGAGCCTCTGATGCTCACATGGTCTGACCTGTTCCAAATTCAATTGCAGAGATACATCCACATGGATGCGGTCAGGCTGCTTCTAGGCTAACCCATGTAGGTGTAACCTCAGTGTTCCAAAAAGCTTTAGTCACAGCCAGGCCCTCCTCTCCTTCAGATTTCATCTGTTAATAAAGCAACTAATGGTTCCCTGTCTCCTGTTGGTAGGCAAGCAGTTGGTTGTACAGCACTTGGAGAGTTCTGAAGCATTGTGGACCGTGTGCTAAATATAATTAGTATTTCACAACTATTTATATTACATTTTTTATTTATTAATGATGTTAGTCAATATTAACTTGCTGTCCACTAGGATATTATTAAAACAGTAGAGTGCACAACCAAGTGCCTCCATCAGTACTTAAAATGTGATTATGCTGCAGCTAAGAAAATTAGATAGTGCAGTAAATGGACCCCATATTTGTTTCTTACAAAATAAAGAGATGTCAGTGGGCCCGTTCATTATTTTGGATTATAATTTGCTACTGATACTTAAGAAAAATTACATACTGGAATTTCAGCACCATTAACTTCTATGTCTGTGCATGCAAGCTTATGTGCATTTGTATGATGATAATGTTTGTAATACTGTCAAATAATATTACATATTAAAAACAAACAAACAACAAACCCAAACATTGTCTCATAGGAATTACTAACTTTAAAACACACCACGTCTTTTTGGTTTCCAGTCCTGTTTTTCCCCTGATAATTATGTTGAATAATATGTGCTTTCCCATTATGAACTATCCAGTAGGGATTACAAGATATACCACACATGTGATTTAATGTGGCTGTCAGAAACTTGGCTATTACTTTCCCGTTTGCATTTTACTTCTTAGTTTTAATTGAGCAACATTTAATGTTACATTACAATTGATTTATGTGGATCTTAATCGTAATCTCAAGTATTCAGGCTTAATGAGACAATTCTTTATTATTGATATATAAAGTGTCTATGGATAGGTCAACTGAACGACATCCTTGTGATTAAAAGCAATAGTGATTACATTTAAGAAGTTAGCTTCATAAGTATGAATTTCTATATTCCATTTATATATGCATAGTTTGAGAAAGAGAGAGAGATAAAGGTGTATGTGTATGATTGATAATATTTATACACACATGTGAATGAAAACACATATGTGAGTAACTTCATGAGTCAGAATACTGATTAACAGGTAGCTTTTATATCTATTTTATATATAGTTTTTTATAACTATTTTATGTAGTTTTTACTATATTATTATTGATAATCCAGTTAAGCCAGCTATTGCTGCTTTTATAAGTTTAAAGAAGACTACAATTAAAGGAAAATTATTTAGTGAAGTTATGCCAACACAAATTATGATCAAATATTGTTGTATCAGAACTTGATTTTATGTTTGCTGTTTTCCATTTCTTTTTTCTCTACTCTGTGGAAGAAGTGCTAAAAGGTGTAGCAAAAAATCCCTCAAAGCTATTGCTACTTCTATGATTTCAAATGCTTGAATTTCACAACTAAACTCTGTCTCTTTAAACAGAGGTTATTATAATGATATTCCTACGATTCCAAAGAGGAAAAATCCCAATTAAAAAATCTTGTGCCTTATGCAGTGGCAACCCTTCCCCCTGTTATTCATTACCTCAAGATTTGGGCTCTGTTTCCAGCATTGCAGCATGAAGCCATTTTAGCCTGTGCTGGAGCCTGTTGAGGTTCCAGGGGAGAGCAGAAGCTGCTGGGCTGGGCTTTGTGCCTGCTGGGCTCCACTCTCCACACCTCCCTTCTGCCGCTACTCCAGCACCTCCCAGGCTGTCTCCCAGCAGGAGCTGTTGGCTGTTGTTAATGCTTTCCTTCCAGTAGGAATCTAGTCAACATTAAATCATCATGGTTATGTTTTAAATGAGACTGGAGATGGTAGCAGAAGGGCTGTATTTCACACCCATGACTAGTCCTCAGCAGAAGGAAAACTTGTCAGGGCCAGTTCTGATTCTTGATGGGACTATGCTAACTTCAGCTCTCAACAATTTAGAAATTCACACCTGTGACTTGCTTCAGGTGATAGAGATACTTAGTGTCATTGTGATCTGGTGATGACATCTGAAAGTTTTTTCCCCTAAAACTTTGTTCATTGTAGGCGGTTGTATGTTGATTTGGTGACTGCCCAGGTAGTCTCTGAATCCTAGCCCAGGCTGTGAAACTAACGTACAGCATGTGTCTCTATTGGCCATATGTCAGTGTGTGTATGTATATATATGTGTGTGTGCGCGTGCATGTATGTCAGCAGCTGCTTGCTGTCAGGTTTGTCACAAATCCTGACACACAGGTGGGATTCAAAGAAAACTGTTCTATTCAAGAATCTGCTCAGACTTTTGAAGCAACTAAGTTAACAGGACCTCTTTACAGCAGGTCCTAGCCTTTGCTCATACGATGTAAAAAACAGTGAGTTTAAACTCCCCTGAGCTTATTTAAAATACGGAAATTTTGTCATAATTATGGGGAGACACATCTTGGTCAACTGTTTTGGCTCAACCAGTAAATAGTAACAAAATAATCTACAGGGAGAGATTTAGAAAAAAAACCATGGGAAATTTTGTTTTGGAAACACTGACACATGGTTCCTAAAACACTGTATGCTCCCTGGAACTCAGGTGCTCCTGACTGAAGACTACATTCTTCTCAATTCTTCACAGTTGAAGAACAATCATTTCAGGCTGCATTTCAGGGGATTCTGACACCATAACCACATTTCCATGGCCTTTGTGTGGAACAGACATCCCAGAGCTCCCAAAACCTAACCTAGCATGCCTCATGAAGTTTGGTCTGCACTGACAGGGAAATTCCAGGGATGGGACATCTGGGGATCTTTTCCATGTCCACGGCATACACAAGAGATTATTGTGTGTCATTTTGCCTGACCTGATTCTGCCTTGGGCTACCCTGCATGCCCAGTCAGCTGGAGGCCAAGGCTCCTCTGCAGTTCTTGCCAGATTTGGAGATCTTACCTTGTCTAATGCCATGCTAAGACCCATTTCAGACTTTTGATATCTATCAATTTCCGTGGCATTGCCCCCGTTAACACCATGGGTGGATTTGGCCAAGTGCCTGAGAGGTTGGTGCTCATTACATAGAGGGATTCTGATAACGTTATGGCTATACATTACCTGAAAGGAGGGGGTTGTTAATGTGTGATAGTGCCCTCAGTAAGAAACTATAAATCATTACTCAAGCATTCAGGTTTGCCTGTCATCAATGTGTCTGTATTGTTTCACACATGAAATAACACATTAAGATGTTGTTAGTGGATATGACAATCTATTCAACTTTCCTCCGGGGACTAGATAATGGCTTATGGATTTATTAAAACTTCTGATTTTGGCATCTATTATAACATGATGGATGAGTGGCATACAACAATGGTTTTTTGCGTGTTGTGAATAAAATGAGAAATAAATCCATATAGTATCTGTCTGTTTTGAGAGTTCATCTCTAGCCTGGCCATGTTCTTTGTTCTCTGGGCAGTGGTGGGTTCAGGTATAAGTGTGCATGGATCTGCTGCTTTTTTTTTCCCTAAGAATTGCAGAGATGCTTAAACTTCAGGCAGGTAAGGGGACTGATGGGAATGCACTAATTCTGAGACTCCCATCAGGCAGCAACATATTTTGCAGACAAACTATCTAACAGTGTGTCCATGATGGCATACAAATTACTGGACATACACATTATGTGGTACTGGTGCTGCATCCCACTGCTTCTGCCAATGTGAAAAGCTAATGTACCATTTTTAAAGAAGAAAATCAGATCAAAGTTCTGTTGATGTCATGTAGAGACTTGACAAATTCCTCTGGATATTTTTTTTCCTTCAACTTTGTCATTTTGGGCTTCTTGTTACACAAGACTGATACACCTTGAATTTCTATGTTCACTGAAATACTGTGTAACAGGAAGCAAGTAAGAAACTAGCAAGTAAAGATCCTCATATTAACCTATGCTACCTGCCTTCCAGGTGGATTTTGATGATAAGCCTGACTCCTTGTTCTTCAGTGATGGGCAGCGAAGAATTGACTTTGTTTTGGTATATGAAGATGAAAGTAAAAAAATTACTCATAAGAGGAGTGATCGTAAAAACCATAAGGTGAGTTATTTTTCATATATTGGGTGTTAGAGCCGTGGGCAGAAAGGACAGTGCCCTCACCCAGAACAGCAATTGCATTGCCCTACTTTTCAGAGCTGGGAAACCGAAGCCCATCAAACTGAGCAGGGAACAGGGCTCAAACCAGTAGATTGCTGCATAAATAGGCAGAGCTCTGCATATCATCTCTGTCAGTGTGTTCTTGGTGACCTCAAAGCATCTTCCTGGGAGGGAACCCTTTAGAGATTTGAGCAGAAAAATGCTGGTATCGGGTTCCTGGTTAGAACTAGACACCAAGTTCTTCAAACTGGGGCAGTTTCTGTACCTACAGTAATTCAGTTAGACCCCTAATGGACTTTGGTATTAAAATCAGAGTATTCAGAAGGAGGCAGCTGACCAGGTGCTCCAGATCACAGTTATGAACACAGCTGCTGACATTCTGCCCAATAATGGGAAATAATTGTATGTATGGGAAATTGTATGTATTATGGGAAATAATTGTGTATTATGTTGCCACCAGAACTTCTCCCTGTACCACTCCTTCCCTTGACACTTCAACAGCTTGGCCCTCCCTAGGGACCTTGCAAAAAATTTCTAACTATAGCCAGTGACTTCTTGATGCTCCTTAGCAGCTATGAACCACAATAATAGATTATTTTTTATTATTATTTTTAATCATTTCATCAGTTTCACCAGTGGCCTACATTCATTATGGCACCCAGGGTCACAAACCCAAGCTATTTTAATCATGACCTGTCAGAGAAATATATATCCCTGAGATTGTAGGCCCCTTGGCACCTCTACTCACCCACCCACATCCTTCTCTGGTTCAGCAACAGTCCACATTCCAGCAGCAGGCTCTGGTAGAGACAGGCCAGGATAAAGGTATCACTGAAAGCAACACATATACAAATAATGATTTGCAGTTAGGAAAGAGAAGAGTAGGAGTAAAAAAGCCTGTAGCTAAGTTGGTTGATACTGATTACACAGTGTTGTTGTTGGCATTAACGGGACAGCCATAAGGAATGTCGTTAGCAGGGTTTGAGGGAGTCCTGCTGTGGGTGGATGTTGCATTACACATGATCACAGGATCAGCAATAAAAATTAATTGAAAGAGGTAATTAGAAACAAAAAGCTGCCCCTTTGGAAAGAATTGTTTTTATCAATTAGCATTTTACATTTCTGTTTGTAATATTTGGCCATTGCCCAAATGTATTTAAAAATATAATGAGCATCTTTTCCAAACAGTGATGGAAATTAAATGTGAGCAATGGAGTAGTATTTTTAGTGTAGCTTTAATGGTAGACATTAGCCAGAACAAAACTATGAATAATTAGACCAGAAGATTGTGGGTAATGAGCTAGGTGCTTGCAAAAAACTTTACTTTTGAAGGTCTTAGTCCCACAAAGATCCACACTGAACCTGTGGCACGCTGAGGAAGAAAAAGCAGTCTACCTACATGGAACGAATCCGAGAACAAGAGCATATTACCCGAATGATAAGGCGAAGACTGAGCGGCTGGAGAGCAGTTCTGTGGAAGAGGCCCTTATGGTCATTGTGGGGAGCAAGCTGAACGGGAACCAGCTGTGCAGCCTGACAGCAAAATGGCCAACAAAGCCTATGTGGGCAGACATACTGCCAGGAGAGTGAGACACATAACTGGTGTGGCGTGGATGTCTCAGAAGGAAGCTGAAAACAGCAGGGATAGCAGTTTTCAGAGCCAGAGCTTTATTGTGCACAGAATTTGGAAACTCCAGGTTACTAAAAAATAGGAAGTCCAGTGAAGTCTGTTCTCATAGGGTGACATACTCACATCACTGAACTCAGGAGCAAGGTCTACACTGGCCATGTGCAACGTTAGTGATCTGTGAAATCTAGGGATCAGGAGTGGGACAAAATTCTGGGACAAATTGTGTCCGATGCACGCACCACCCCACCTGATCGCATGACATGGAAGTCATTTCAGAATTTAAATTATTAGTGGACATCTGCAGATCTACATTTCTGAAGTAAAATTGTTTGGGTGCTGCACTAGGTGGTTTTGTATGATACTGAGCATACAGGAGTCCCCAAACACTGAATTTAGACAGAAGGATTTGAAAATCAGACCACAACCTACCTATCCAATTTACTGGATTAAGAGAAAAAAGGCACAGATCCACCTGTTCTTCTGCAGCAAGAGAAGAATCAGATCCTGGGATTATCATTATATTGGATTTTAATGACTTTCTGTCCTTTTTCAAAAGAATTGCATGAGTGTAACATTAGTTTATATTCATTAGCACTATTCTTGGGAAAACATCTCAGAGGACAGAAGGAAATAACTAAAAGCATGGGTGTGATTTGGATAGTAGGAATAAATATATGGGACTCTGAAGCTCTCAGAGATGCACAGTGGCACTGTGCTTCTCTCATTTCCATTTGCTTCTGAGATCTGGAGGCAAAGTCAAACTAATGAAATGGCAACCTTATGGATAGTTTCCAACATAATTTATAGATCCCAAAGTTAGCAGATAAGTTTCATATATGCAATTCAATTCAAGCTCCAAACCTTTTTAAGATGGTATAGAATTAATTTTGCAAGCACTAGCAAAAATCAAACTGCCAGGAGCAGATTCCAGAAACTGTACCTTGCAAGCAATTGAAATTCCTGCCCAAAACATGGTTTTTAAACATACAATTTATGTTCCCTGTTTGTAAGGATAGGTTACCATCAGATTAGAATTTAAATATCGCCAGTCTTCTCAAAAATGCTCCCAAATGCCACTTCTGTCTTTTGGAGTCCTCAAGGAGCTCATTGTTGAAAGTCAAACGTTCAGGGGCAGAAAGGTAAATTCAAAATAAATCAATGCAGAGTGTCATTCTCATCCATCTACTTCCCTCCAACAGAAATATACAGAAAGACTGTCAGTCATTTAAGTAGGAATGTGGGCGAAATCTTCATTTCCAGCCATGAAGAAATTTGTGCTTCACAGAAATAGACATTTTTTTTTTCCAAATTTAATGAAAACTATAATTCTTGGAGAATATTACACACATCTTGTTGGGGGCTTTTTAAACTATAGTTATACTGAGAACTTCAGCAGGGTTTCAGAAGTTTGTCTTCATAAACAAATGAACAGTTCCTGCCTCTAGAGTTGTTTAGTTCAGATAACAAACATAAAACAAAAAACAAACAAAACAAAAACAAAAAAACACACACAAAAAAACCTATGACTAAACAAAACAAAAATACGCTTAAGTAACTTCTCAAGCACAAGTTGTACTTATCCCACTGCTTAGCATGTGTCATACCTGTGGTGAAAAAACAATACTTGTGTTTACAGAAAAAAGGGTACCTCAATGCAATTTTATGTAGTGATTTGAGGCAACCAAAAATCCAAATATTACTTCTTTACCTAATGGAAGGAAGGATGACAGAAGGATACAAACACAGGTGGAAGGAGGGAGTTACACTGAAGTTACTACATACATTCATGGGACCAGAAATGGGTCTTTCCAAATAAGGTGACTAGAAGCCACTGTTGAGGATGAGGCTCGACTGCAGTGTTGCCAGTTCTGTGTGGTCATGGATCAGGTTTCAGAAAACCGTGAGGCTGGCTTAAAATCAGAGAGTATCTCAGAAAATATATATTTGGAGTTCTTTGGGTTTGGGGGTTTTTTTGCACATTTTTATGATTATCTTCAAGCATAAGGGAAAGAAGCTTACAGAGCAGAGCTTCTCAATCAATTAATTTTCTGATGCTGACAACCGAGACTTTGAGGAAAGTTCCAAATATCATCAAAGAAACTGTAAGGGTTGGCAGCTAGCATTGATACAGTGATCCTCTCCACTCCATTCAGCTGATTTCCATGGGGGAGGCTTTGAGCCCCATGCTCTTTCTCTTAGTGGCTGTGATTCCTCTATTGCCTGTCAGGGAAGACAGAGGTGGCTACTCAAGCACTCTTTTCTTGTTAAGATTTTTCACCTGAAACCACTTGGAAATTGTTCTAGGAAACTTTTCTCTTTGCACAAAAGGAACTTAATGAAGATTTGAGTTGGCATTCTTCTGTCATCGTAATCAAAGCAAAACCTCCCTACCATTTATAAAACACAGGGGGAAAACTGCTACTGGTCTGCTACCAATTTCCAGACCCACAATCTTTTCAATCTCCTCAGCTTGGCAAGACAATCACCAGACATTGAAAGCAATGTGGTGAAAGAAGCAGCACCCAAGAGCTGACCCTTCTATGTGCCTATAATACTTGTCATTTACTTACACTCTGCTTTCACTTTCTTGAGACTATGATTATGCATCCTATTGTGTCTTAATCTGTCAACTAGCCATTCAATCATCAAAACCTGTGTCAGGTTTAGATCAGCAGCATTACCATGATTACTTTATTATTGTAACTTAGCCTTGCAGGTGGCTGAGCAAAATGCTGGATACTAAAATAAACTTTGGATGGTCTCCACCTTCCAGCCTAATAAGCCATCATATCTATACACTGTATTCCCTAGTCAATGCAAAACCACTATAGCTCCTCCATAGATCATTGTATGCATAATTCAATCATTTATATAAAATAGCAAAGCCTCTAATTAGCAAAGCCTCCCAGGGGCTTTGTTTCTCACTACTTGCATTAATGCATTATTAGAAACCTTAATATTGTCAACATTCCTCTAAGATTTTGAGGGCAAAATTAATTTTGGGAACATGCCATAATAAATTATTAAAGGAAACTGATTAAAAGATTTTAAAAAAGTAGTATTAGACTTCTACAAATGAGAATTGAATCTATCTTTTTGCTATTTAGGAAGAAAATGAAACAGGTATTTAGCCCCCTGCCTTTTTTTATTTGCTGAAACAAAGCAGAAAGCAAGTTGAAATGTTTTCATGATTCAGTATTATTCACTTTAGAATGAAATATATGAATATGGAAGAAGCAAAGAGGTGGGATAAAATGGCAGAGGAGTTACTACTGGAGTAACAAACAAATCCTTTGTTGTGTACCATATATATTAATTTACTTAGAAGCCAAGACTCAACCTTTACCTTTGAAGGAGACTGGAGAGCACCATTACCTATGAAATATTGAAAAATGCAAGGAAATATGTTACTGCAAGGAAAACACGCATTCACATTTGGGATTCTAAGTTAGAGCTGTTAGTACAAGGAAGATAATTGGATGTAGTGGGTTGACCCTGGCCAGATACCAGGTACCCACTAAAGCTGCTCTCTCACTCTCCCCTCTGCAACTACAAGGAAGATAATTGGATGTAGTGGGTTGACCCTGGCCAGATACCAGGTACCCACTAAAGCTGCTCTCTTACTCTCCCCTCTGCAACTGGACAGAGGAGAGAAAAAAAACAGCTAGGAATTCATGAGTAGATAAGAACTGGGAGAGGCCACTTACTGATTACCTTCACGGGCAAAACAGACTCAAAGTGGGGATAGTACTTAAATTTATTACTAACAGGATAAGAGCCAAAGAGTGAGGAATAGTCTTAAAAACGCCTTCCCCCCACCCCTCCTTTCTTCCATGTTCTCCCTCCTCCCCCCTAGCAGTGCAGGGGGACGAGGAATGGGGGTTACGGTCAGTTGTTGTTTCCGCCGCTGCTCAGGGAGAGGAGTCCTTCCCCTGCTCCCATGGGGTCCCTCCCACAGGAGACAGTCCTTGATGGGCCTCTCTGGTGTGAGTCCATCCCTCAGGCAGCAGTTCTTCCCAAACTGCTGTCCCGTGGGTCACTCCTCCATGGGGTGCAGTCCTTCACGAATGAGCTGTACCAATGTGGGTCCCCCACAGGGGTCACAAGTCCTACCAGGGAAAAACCTGCTCCGGGGTGGGCTTCCCTCTCCACAGGCCACAGGTCTCCGGCAGGACCCACTCCATCCTGGGGCTCTCACAGGGTCACAGTTTCTTTCATGCATCCACCTGTTCCAGCATGGGCTCCTCCATGGGCTGCAGGTGGGTCTCTGCACCCCGATGGTCCTCCATGGGCTGCAGGGGCACAGCTGCTCCACCATGGGCTGCACCACAGGCTGCAGGGGCCTCAGCTCCAGTGCCTAGAGCATCTCCTCCCCCTCCTTCTGCACTGACCTTGGTGCCTACCTTGTTATTCCCATGTTCTCACTCTGCTCTTCCCTGGCTGCAATTTCTTCTGTGCAACCATCTTTTGTTCTTATATATGTTATCACAAAGGTGTTACTATTACTCCTGATTGGCTCGACCTTGGCCAGCGGCAGGAAGTCTGTGCTAGAGCCAGCTGGCATTGGCTCCACAGGACAGGGGAAGCTTCTAGCAGCTTCTAACAGGCGCCACCCCTGTAGCCCTCCCCCGCCATCAAAACCCAGCCACAGAAATCCACTACAATTATAAATTTATATATTACATATGTATATACAATATTATATATACAGTGAAAAAATATAAAGAGCATTATATTGTCACCAATAACCAAGTGAATTAACAAGACATGGAGAGATACTTCCATGAAGAGTGCTACCCAAGTTTTATCCTGAGAAAAACAAGGAAGGAGAAAGGTGATAAGTATTGATGAGAGAAGAAAACAGATTCAAGTATTTGGCTCTTCTTGTCCCTAACTTGAGTAGAAGGTGATATTCACTGGAAAAAAAAAGTCAGAAAAGCCAAAAGAGATAAGAAAAATACCTTTTAACAAAATATGAAATTAGACCATCGTGACCATTGCCACATGCAGCTGCTGCAGCTGAGAACTAACAAACTATAAATGGGGTAGGCTGTTCATATTGTTATTAAGTTTTATAATTATTAGTTCCAAGACTTGCTAGAGTTTTGGAAAAATAGCTTTTTCTTGCTTGGGGACTTAAAACCATCTTTAAATATTCAAGAACTGGATGAAACTTACATGAATATACAACTGATCTGTTCCTGTGGAAACTTCTGAAGATTTTTGCCCTTTTTGCTGAAGCATCTGGGTTTTGCCCCTAGAGTGGACAGGCCTTGGGTTTAGTCCTGAAGACCAGTTTCCATGTACCTATCAAAGTTCCTAAGAGTTTATCTACAGGCTTATTTGCTGACTCTGGTCCTTCACAGTAGCAACAGGCCTGGATCTTAAGCACAGATCTTTAAGCAGTTAGTCTGGCTATAGAGAACTACATGACAAAACACACTGGGCCATTCTTCTTTTAAGTTCCTGTGGTGGTAGATGAAGAATCCTTTAAGCACATATAAACAACAAAGAAGTTGGCCAGTGGCATGAAAGCAATCTGGGAGTAAGAAAGTAGTGTCACCAAGTTACTCCAAGAACCTCACTGCATACCTACCCTAACCTGGCACAGCAATAAAGCTATCAGACCACAGTGCATTGAAGTTATCTCCTTCCAGCAAACTGCTCACAGAAGACTTTCTAAAGGGCAGATTAATAGGGGGAGGGAGGCTGCTGTCAGTAGTTCAGTTAGTGATTAAAGGTGAAAGAGATCACAAGTTTCAGGGATAGCTTTCAAAATTTTCAAGTTCTTCAAAATCTGGGGCATGTTTTTACCTCTAGAAACTAAGAGGATGAATTCTCCACAGTTGCATTTGAGGGCAATATTGCATATCAGACAAAAAAACTGATCAAGATTAATTAGTAGGTAGGACTGAACCTATCACCACAGTAGCTGTCAAGTGGGCTATGGAGTTAACAACCCAATGATTCTGTGTTTTGGGAGGCAATTCCATTCTTCTATGCATATATATTTGCAAAATTTGGAACAGATGTTTTACAGTGTCCAATGCTTTTTAACAGAGGAAGAGACAAGTATATGAATCAAACCTGATAAACAACGGCTTGCAACTAGAAGCAACGAGGTCGGTGAGTGCTCTTCCCTGTGTGAATGGCTGTGTCTGAGAGAAGAGCTGCCCTACGGGAATAAGGAAACTGGATATATGAATTGACATGTAGCATGTCTCTCCTCTCAGGAGAAAAAGGCCCACCTTTTTTCTGTTAGTAATGTCTTTGTGATTGGATGTCAAATCTTTTTAAACTTTATGTGTCTGCCTTCCTCTGCAAAATAAAAGATGGGAAGCTGGGAGATTACATCATGAAGCTGGGAGATTGCACAGGTCATGTTTGCTCAGAGCTTGGAAGATAAAAATTACTGTCAGTGCCCTGCAGAGAGGTTCTTCCCCTGCTCTGGCTGTGTAGTACATGTGGGAAGGCAGTGTGTGTCCAGAGCAGAATGCCCCTGCCAAAAGAGCGGTGCAGGGCTCCTGCACATGACACTGCTCCTCACAGAGGCTGGCACTGTGCAAGTGGTTCTAGCTATCATGCTTTGTATATTTTGGGCTGTGATGTTGCCTTCGGGCAGTTCAAGAGCACTTTGATAAAGCTCACCAGCTGCTGGAGCTGCTATCTCTTGCAGGGAGAGTTAGAGCCCCTCCAAGTCCCTTCTCTTCCTTTCTACCCTGAAGGGCTGCAGCATTCCATCTGTGTCTTCCTGTCCAGGACAATCACTTTCTGTTTAAATTTGTTGTTTGGTAGTTCTACAGTGAGCTCCAGAAAAGGTCAGTTTGCCCCTTCCTCCCAAATTAGACTCAGAATCCATGGCATCACAGTATTTGATTTATGTAGTGGGGACTCCTGCTGCATGGCCAAGGATGCAATCTGGGTCTTCACATTCATAGGAAAGTAAATGTTTGCTGGAAGGCTACTGCAGACCTTCTACTATACTTACACACTTCAGTTTTCAATAGTTCTGCCATGATCATGACTAAAAAACATTTGAAACTGGAAGTTTCCCCAGTCTAGATGAGATATCTGACCAGTGTTCCCGAGCCAATGAGATACATAATGTAATTTCAAGTGGCTGAGACTTACTAATGCAGGGCAGAAATAGAAAGTCTACAGGCCATGACTACAAGAGGCAGGAGTGGCCATCAGGTTTCCCATTGTGTACTAGTGCTGGTTTGGGCAGGCCACTGGGAGCACATGTGCCCCGTGCTGTCTTTTCCAGCAGACTCATCTGATTTCCCTTTCCATTCTCTGTATGAAGCTTGAAATTCTTGTTGCCCAGGAGCATCCCATGGGTGCCTAGCCTGCTCCCATCAAGTCACATCATTCTAGGGTTGTACTTGAGCTCCTGGGAAGTCACTGACAGCTCCAGAGCCACAGCTGCCCTCTCCAGCTACAAGTACAAATACTCCTAATGACCCTGTATGGGGGAAATGTTGTTAAACTTTAATTGCTTTGTAAAATACTTTGCAGAGATGTAAGCACTAAGGGGACATTTCACTGTTTTTTGATATACTTTTATATGCATGAGTGTTTCCTTCTCATGCCAGCGCTTTTACAGAACCTAATGATATATTTGCTAAGATGGACAATGAATGCGACTTTGAGTAGGTCATTGGTGAGCTGCAGAAAGAAAATTCTAGGTAGTTCAAGAATTGTTATGTAAATTTCTTTGCTTTCATTTTCTTACACACATATTTTCAATATTCTTTCATCTCAGGTTTTGGATGAGAAACTTATTTTTGTGAAAGTGCATGCACCTTGGGAAGTGCTGTGCACATATGCCGAGGTTATGCATATCAAATTGCCTCTGCAACACAATGACCTGAAAACCCAAGACTCAGCTTTCAACTGGTTTAGTAGACTCTTCAGAGTGGACGAAAATATCATCAAACCTGAGCAAGAGTTTTTCACTGCCCCTTTTCAAAAGGAACATTTGACAAACTTTTATATCCATGACAAAGACACATTTTTCAATCCTGCAACCAGAAGCCGAATTGTAAGTCCATGGAGTATTTTTAGCATTTAGTCTAAAAAAGAAACTATTCCTTTAATCAAATCAATGTAATTATCTTCATTAAAACATCCTGAAAAATTGAAAATGTTTGGGATGCAATAGTCCCATGTTATTATTAAATAGCCTGGACAATCCAGAAGAAAACGTTCCTTACGTTTGTTCCTTTTCTGTTCCACCTAAATTTAAAGGAGGGATTAGAATAATATGTATACCTATGCAATTAATTTTGTCTGCACTGCTTACCCTTTGCTAACTTGACTGTATGTTGAGTCAGTTATAGCTGTGTATGATTACTTTCAGATTCCAAAAAATATTTTATAAATTTCAGGTTCATTTTATCCTGTCCCGTGTGGAATATGCAACCAAAAATAATGTGAAAAAGTTTGGCATTAACAAATTACTGGACACTGGAATCTACAAAGCAGCATTTCCCCTTCATGATGTAAGTCCAGTGTTTTTAACTAAAATGCACTTTGAAACAGGGGTCTGAACTGTATCTGAGGGGTTTATATCAAAAGATACAAGTCTTATTCCTTGACTGGTTATTATATCCACATAGAAGAATAAGACATGGTTTGACTGAAGAGATTTTCTTCCAAGGCACAGTTAGTTAAAAATGTAGTTCTATAACTGAAAAACAATATATTTCACTTGAGAGTTGTTAAATTTGTATTCTCTGGGGTGTGTTCAGTAAAGTGCCTGACCTGAGTGATGGTTCCCATGACACACTGTATCTGTCAGTTCTAAATCAATTTTAACACTTTCCCTTTCATTAATATCCAGTTTTTCAGTATTAAAATTCCAATCAAATATCAACATTGTTGATAAAGATATAGACTACAAATCTCATCTTAGAATGTGTGAAAAGTCTTGCAGAGTGAGAAACATTCCCACAGTTCCCAAACAATGTAGGGAGACTCAGGTTTCTGCAGGAAAACTCTGCCCAGCCAGTCCAGTTCCTCTGATGTCAGAGTCCTGCAGAGAGACGCTTCACTGGTTTGAATTTCACCTTGCAATAATAACAAATCCAGCTTTTGTAGCTACACTTCTGAAACTTTATAAGTTACATAATTTAAAGAAGAAAGTTATACTGAAAATTGTTTTGTATACCAAGGCTAGCAATAGCACAGCAATAGGAGAAAGGAAGAAGGAGAAAAAAATCAGATTTCAGAGTATTTGACTAAGGAAAAACTCCGTGTGAAGCTGTAAATGCAACACAGTGTGCAAAGACTGCGAGCTGATTTTCTGGATTCTATTACAAACCCACACCCCCACACCTCCTCTGCATCAGAGCCACCATTCTGGGTCCAAGGTGTGTTGTGTCAAGGAGACATTGAGAACATGAGAGGTCATTAACTCCTGCAGCTGCTTGGACTTGTCTTAAAATATTCAGGAGGCCTCCAAGGATTTCAAAGAAATATTTAGGTAGAATCAAGACAAATCATGTTTCTTGTAAGTAAATAAAGCTTTACGGGATAGAATTAATATAATCTGTGACTATCCATTTTTAAGGTTTCTTTTTAAAGATTTAAAACCTGTCTTGCAGGCTATTCCTCTCATAGCATGGGGAATTCAGACTCAGTATGACTAATAATTAATGACTGTCTTTTTGTACAATTAAAATTATATATCTCAGCTGCACTGAAAATCAAAAGTAGCCTGTAGATTTCTACAAACATTGCATCACAGAGATAGAATGGAAAATTCTCTCAAATAAAGTAGGTTTTATTGAAATAGCTTTTTAAATAGCCTAGTAAAAACGACAAGGATTATCTCCATGTAAACTCTCTTTTAAATTTAAAACAGACTAGAGACCCTGGATTTGTCCCACAGACTTTCCCGCCTGCACTCTAGTACAGTATTATTTTGAAACAAAGCAAGCTAGCATGTTAAAGCTAGTTAAAATACATTTTAATTCAGCCCTGTTCTCTAATTAGATTGGATCCTTTTTTGTTTTCTATTCCTAAGTGCCAAGATGCTGACATGTGCTTAGATTTAAGTTCATGACAAGTCTCTGTTATTTACAGCTCACATATGTACAGTGTTAGTTTTAGTATTCAGTATCTTTCTGACAACGTTCTGTCCTGAATCCTGGTGCGTTCTCAGAGCTGCCTTCCTGCTCCTTTTCCTGCCTTGCAGTGAGACTGGTCTAAAAGGCTATTCTGGCTTCATGGCATAGGGCTAGTCTGTCTCACAGAGACGAGAGCTGAGCTGTGCTGGTTGGATTAGTGCTATCTTTTTCTCATGCTCTTTTTGTTTTGCAGTCTAATTTTAAGCACCTCTCAACCGATCCCAACTGCCCAAATGAACGATATCTTCTTTACAGAGAATGGGCTCATCCTAAAAACATCTTCAAACTACAACCCCTGGATTTCATCAGGTTTGTGTGACTGGGCCTGGACTAACGCAGAAATTTACATAACGGGTCTGGTTTTGGGGATGTCAAAGAGACATAGGTCAGTTTTGAGGGATGATACATACACCCAGATCAGCTCATGCATAGGAGCATACTTTGAGCTTGCTTTCATGATAAGGCAATTCATGAAAAGTCAACCACTTAAATTTTTTCTTTGCGGGGTATGATCTTTCTCTCTTTTTTCTTTTTTTTTTTTTCATTTCTGTCCTCTTACAAAAGCATAAAAGTGGTGGTAAAAATACCCAGCAGTAATACTGCTGCAATCCCAAAGTTCAGATCAGAGGAATATGACAATATGGGTTGGCACAAAATGTATGAAATGAAGAGCCATTTGAAACAGAAATGTGAATTTACTTGCATTTCAGAAAAAAAAAACCTCTTTCCCCTCCACAGGAAATACTATGGAGAGAAAATTGGCATCTACTTTGCGTGGCTGGGCTTTTACACCAATATGCTGACTGTGGCCGCGGTTGTAGGAGTTGGCTGTTTTCTTTATGGGTGCCTGACAAAGGACAACTGCACATGGAGGTACATCAGGCCTGTTTTAATATCACATGCAATTTTGATCAATCCTGTACAGAGGAGGACTGGAGAGGGTTTGCAAGACACTGCACAATAAAAGAGACTAAATTAAAGGGTCTGAGATCAACTAACATTGTGGATTTGAAGGTAAAGGTATAAAATATGAGATAAGAAGAGTAACAGATGTTAAGGGATCATTACAGTGATAGACATCTGGGAGTTTGTTATTTCATCATTTTTTATATTTTCTGCTAGGTTCACCACACCTAGTGTAGAAACATGAAGAAAAGAGTGACAATCGGAAGTCAATACAAATTGACATAACACATAATTTTCACTGTGGTAATCCTTAAAGGAGATATCCAAAGATCTTGATTATTTCCTTCCTCTATTTTGGGAGAATAGAGTAACTGCACAGGGGCCTTCAGCTGCCCAGGATACATTGGGAGGCAAGGCACACAGATTCCCTCATCAGAAGACAACAAAATTAATCCATAATTAATCCATGGCAAAATGACTCAGGAAAAAAAGTGAACAGGCGTCATTGTGTCAAATGGTCCATAGGCCATCACGCTGTATACCACCTCCTGGGAGGATGTTCATAACCCATGCTAAAGGGCTGTTCCAGAGCTCCACTCCTGTGGCAAATTTATACACATTCAGCCTTTAGCCAGTATTATAATTTAGTTAAACAGCTCGTCTCTCCTTCCTGGCGTTTACCCCCCAGTGTATGTGTAGAAAGCATTCATGTTACCTTTCAGCCACCACCATATTAGGGTAGTATGTATTAGTTAGATGGCAACTCTTTTGCCATCTCTTAGGAGACAGATCTGCCATTCCTTGAATCATCTTGGCAGCTCCCCTCTGCACAATTTCCAGTCTGATCCTCTTTGAAGACCACAGGGTAGCCCTTTGGCTCTGCAGCTATTCCTTGTTCTAGTAGGCAGTGTTCCTCTTCCTTCTCCCCTCAGGTTTGCTACAATAGGATTGAGCGTGCAACTGTGGGTTCCCTAGTGAAGAGTGTGAGATCTTTGAAGAGCTGTTTTATTTTTAATGTGGGCAGTTTTGAGAAGTACCACCATGTACAAGGGATGGAAATTATTTTCCTCCTATGTCATCCATTTTTGAGATGAGGACTAAGAATGGAAATGTGTTGCCAGGGTAAGGGGTGGGGGTGGAATTCTTGAGAGCAGATCACTAGTAAATTACTTCTTAATTCCCTGAGATTATTGCACTGACCTCATGTGAGAAAAAGGACTAAAGAATTTAGTGTTGGTGAGTGACTGACTAGTTTTGTTTTTAGCCAAGAAGTATGTGATCCCAACATAGGAGGTAATATCATAATGTGCCCTCAGTGTGATAAAGTATGTACCTACTGGAACCTCACCATCACTTGTGAATCATCCAAGGTAACTACATTTATAGCTTATAGACATGATATTGAACTTTACTTGCACTTTCTCTAGTACTACATATAAAACAATGTTGTTCCTCCACTAATGTCTGACAGAATCACTAGAAATTTGCAAATAGTTGTTCCTTTTGATACAGTGACAACTTTGAAAAGTAAAACCAGCAACATTAATTGCTCCAATTTAATCTAAAATGAAATTTATTTTTTTTAATGTCACCTAGATACTGATTATTTTATATGGGACTAAAGTGTTATTTTAATTGAAAATTGGTTTCATTTGGAGGTGCTTCTTCCTTTTGGGGGAGAGAAAGATTCAGTTACTAAAGCCATGATTCAGTAGCTCTGAATCAATTTTGCTAAGGAAATGTTTAAAAATTGTTTTGGCATTTCTAAATTCTACCCCCTCCCTCCACAAAGAAGTTACCTGGATCTGTGCCTTGAATGTGATCTGTGTTGTTAAGGAGGAGATGGGTACAAGGAGAGGCTGGTGTTGGCCATGACAGAGGCTGTGACGCAGCCATGTCCTGTTGGCTGTGACACAGCCAGAGTCTTCCTCTTTGTTCCTGCCTAGAGAAACCTGACTTTCTTTCTCCATTACCGTGTCTCACTAATGTTAGCCTTTTGTCATTCCTCTCCATAGATTCAGCCCCAAAACTGTGATTTTTCAGCTATGCATCAAAAATATTTTGCCCAGCTTTAATGGGCACACTGAAAGGGTAAAAGAAATAAGAATGCAGGGAAAAGGCTATGATGGAAAAATGAAAAAGGCAAATTGTGACTAAAGAGGTATTTCATCAGAATGTGTTTTTACTAACTTATTTGTTGTCCTGCTTATGAGAACCAGATGTGTGCACTGCCTTTTTGTGGCTGTATTAAAAATACATAACTCTATACTGAGTTCCCAGACCAGAAGCACTGTTTCTACTCTTCCTATGCAACAGATGGAAGGAGTTTGATAGCACACCATTTTACTATCCTTCTTACTGTATATTTGGCTTATATTTTAAATTCTAAGCTTTGCATTTAATTTCCTTAATTTATGGAAGGAAGATGTAGATGGACAGAAATTGAGGAAACACTATCAATACAGATTGTTTATGAAACTACATAAAAGCTAAAAATCAACATGTTCAGTTGGCAGCTTCTCTTCTAGGTCAGTGTAGAAAAATAAAAATGGTCAATTATATTTTAAGCCTTTTTTTTTCACCTTTTCCATGTTTTCCAGAAACTCTGTATATTTGATAGCTTTGGAACACTGGTATTTGCAGTATTTATGGGGATATGGGGTAAGTCCATTTCAACAACTGTGGTTTGTTATCTAATTTTGGCCATGCCTCCAGCATCAGCCAAGAAAACATGCATAAATTTGCAATGACTTCATTTTCTAGCACTTAGGAATTTACTGGTAAGTAGTTCCGTAGAAAATACGCACAGGAACTGTTTTTTAGCATCATAGGAAAACAGAAAAATTGTTGACTTAAAAGTTGGTCTTCAGCATCTGTTTGGTTTTGTTTCACTTGGAGAAAAGTCTGAGAGAAGTGGTTACCTCTGCCTCATGTTCATCCAGCAGGAGCCAGCCACATGCTTAAGTATATTTGTCAGAGAAGCAGCGTATTTTTCCAAAGAGTTTTGGAGCTGCCTGTGCTATTAAGAGCTGTGTGACTACACAAGGCAATTGAAAAATAGTAATTTATTGTATTTCCCAGGAATTTTTTGTTCCCGTCTTTATTTAAGAAGCTGATTGTAAAAAGTGTGGTAGTTACAAGCACTACACTTATCTTTTAGCAGCTAAAATGTATCTGAAACCAGGATGCTTCCCACAGCTGAAACCATTTGGTACTGTATTCAAGGTATTAGACAAGGTTTATTTTCCTGGAAACATATAGCAGCTTTGTTAACTAGCTTTTATTGCACAGTCTTATCCAGTAACTACAAAACTAAGTTGAACATTAGCACTGCATACAGGGTAGTATAGAGAAAATAACATGTAATATTTTGAAGTTATATACCAGCTGACAAGAATATACAATTTGCTTTCTTTGTAAAACGTGCTGTATTTTTATTTCCCTAGGATGACCTAAAGTGCTTCAAAATAACTCTTGCTTTAAAGAAATGTAAGATGAAATGTATAATTTCAAAGATAATTTTTCTTTCAAAACATATGCTAAAATCAAAATACCAGCAGGAAATTCACTAAATAAAAAGTTATTAGAAGTTTGATAGCAATGTAATCTACCCTGTCATGTCAATAGTTAATTTATTTGCAATTTTGTTTTTAATTAAAATTGTGCTGCCTATTTTGAAGAATGGTTCCAAGAGCAATAATTACAAAGTTAAGCTTCATGACTATAGTGATGGCTGCAAGGTCTATTAGTATTCTTGTTGTAAGCCCACTATATAAGGAGGTGAATCATATCACAGAAATTCAGCCAAAATTGTACTGGATCCAAATGACCCATGGTCCTGGTGCAATTCCAGCTGTAATTTTCGTCTTGCTCTAATACTTTTTTAGACCTTCTGGTCCAAAACAATTAAAATAATATTAGACTTTTAGATATATTATTGTATCGTTATCATCAATACACTTCTAATAATTGCAGTTTTGTGTGCGTGTGTGTGTGTATTCCCTTCAAAAATTTTAAAGCACTATAAAACATCAGATAATTTGGCCTGAGGAATTAGCCCTCTGTACATTAATGCTCTGCCAATTCTTCTGTGATGGTACGACTGGCAAAGGTCATGAAAAAGAGGCAGCTTCCACTTCACTTGCTGCCCTCCTTGGATCCTGTCCCTGAGCAAGATCAGTTAAACCAATATTCTCTGATGGAGGCATTTCTTTTCAGACCTTGGTGACACAGCTTCAGAGGCAGAATACCAGGGCCATACTGAGTGGCAGTGTTGAGGGATACACAAAAGAGGGCACCACGAATTACCAGCATGAGGTGGAATTAATGGTCTGATCTGATTCTGAAACATCATTTGTTTCCACTGTTAAAGCAATGTTGCTTCAAAATAAAAGGAAAACGTCAAATTCAGCAGCAGCTCCTTTCCTGCTCTGAAAGACACAACTTGGCAAGTAGAAATTGTCTTTGTATCAGGGCTGGGAGAGCTGTTCCTGTGTTATGTGCCCTTCTTTCACTGTTAGCACATGAGGCTACCATAACAGAAGAAGTCCCTGCACTTCTGGGCTCTCCAGTAGCAGCTGAATTTGCAGCTGGAGCAAATTACTATAGCCTGTAGTTTCCTGTGCTTTGGGCCAGGCAGCAGTTAGAGGTTTATGAAAGACAAATATCCTTGCTCTGCAGGAGAAAGCAGATGAGATCCTCTGGTCCACTGCTTGAAATGTCCTTACAGGTTCTATTAATCATAAAGTAGATGAAAAGTCCTTATGAAAGAGGCCCCCAAATAGCCAGGTGAGCAGGGTTTCCTGGGGTTTTGCAGTGTGCAATGCCAAGGTCATCTCACAGCCCAGGCCATAGATTTTCCTGGGTTTTAAATATTTCAGTTTGGGGATTATCAACCACACCTGATTTTGGACATAACCTTTAATGTTTGGACTTGTAACTGCATGCCATTAAGGTTTCATCATTCAGGATGAGGGGGCCAACCTAATTTAAAAAAAACTGTTCTAAGGTTAATTAGTCCCAGACAATGAGAGTAATGAGTGCAGTGTTGGTATACTAACTCCTCCTGGAACCAATACTTCAGAGCCACACCACTCATTTAATCTGAGGATGAGCTGTCTTCAGTAATGAAGCATCCAGGTATACTGGGGAGCGTGGTACTGACACCCATCATCCTGAGCTCCTCCCAGCCTTACCAGCTGGGTTTATTATTGCCTCTGCTGCCAGATCTGCATAACGTTTTGAGACAAAGTAATGAGTTTGACTGGATTCATGTCTAGCCAGTACCACTGAGGCATCTGTGTACCTGGTCCCTCAGCGCTTCCAGTTGTAGGAGCACAGTCCAAGGAAACTGCTGGTCCAGCCCAGAGAGTTTCTAAGCTCCATGCCATGCAAAAGAGCTGCAGTCCCTTCATATTCATGCTATCAGAGGAGGAAGGGCAGCTGTGTCTAAGCTGCTTTACCTGAACTGTCCTTGGTTCTTGTAGTCTGCGAAGTGATAATTTGTCCACACAAAAATCCCAACTTGAATGAATATGAGCTCTTCCCTGTAATAATTTTTGGCATAGTAAGTTTCATTTTTCTGGAAGGCCTGCACTCTCCAGCATTTTGTCTTCACCTACTCAACCAAATTGCTTTCTTAAGCATCCCATGATAAACTTTTTTAAAAGCAATCTGTAATAGGAAATCCCAAGTGTTCGTATTCTAACCTTAGGCAGAAAACAAATATATTAAAAAAGTGTATACATTCTTTAGCATGTGGTTATTACACCTCAGGTTTCTCTTAGTAAAGTACACATATATCCAAAACCGTAGTTGCATAAAGGAGTAGATCCAGTTGTTTTCACCATTGCATTAGCCAATAAGGGTTTTATTCCATGTCTGTGGAAGGCTGTGTGGAAAACTGAGCCACGTTTTAGCCCAGGGGGTCAAGCAGTGTCCAATACTCACATGGTATTGCTCATTTTGTCTGTCTTTTGGACAGTTACTTTGTTTTTGGAGTTTTGGAAGCGACGGCAGGCTGAACTGGAGTATGAGTGGGACACAGTTGAGTACTTGGAGCAAGAAGAACAAATTCGCCCAGAATATGAAGCTCGGTGCACTCATGTAGTAATGAATGAAATCACACAGGTGAGGAATACTTTGATAACTGGTGATGGTTACTGCAATAGATATGTTTGTGAGCAAACACTATGAAAATGGTGAATCTGGACTAGAACTGTGTAAATCAGCAGTGCTTCAAGTTGACAAACTGGACTGAAAATAGTGAACTTATAAAGTACAAATGCATGAGGAGGGAATTTGTACTGAATTTGTAAGCACCTTAAAGTAGTTGCCTGCTTGAGGAACTTGCACTGCTGAGGTTCCTGTTATAAATAAGCAGAAGCAGGCATCTTCCCCAGCTTAAGAAACTAAGTCTACTTTATTAAATACCCCAAGAAACGATACAGTGTTGCTGCCAGAGCCCAAGATCATAGAACATTTGCTATCTTTGCCTATGAATGCATCAGGAAAAAAAGGTGAAATAGAGGGAAACATGTTCCATTGTTATATATCATGCCAAGACTTTTTTTAATCTGAGATGTTTCTGTTTGAAACATGTATAAATAGCTGGTGTTGCTGACTGCATGTGGATGCAATTAGGATTAATAACAGAGATTAATAACTCGCAGAGACAAGGATAATTCTAATTTCAATGAAATAGGATTTGTATTTATGAGGATCTTAGTTTATATCTCTATTTACTATACATTTTGAGTAGCTTTAGCTTCAGCAGCTCACTCAAGCTCAGCTTCACTTTTTACTGTTCTCTTTCAAGATATTACTCTGTTGTTTATCTGATCATTTGCATTGCTTTCACATTCCATCTGCGTTGTACTAGTGTTTATTAGAGGGCACTTGAAAAGTTTCAAAATTAACTGCCTCAATTGAAGCTATCCTATATAGGTGTTCTTTTTATATCTTGTACTATCAAAAAACTCATTCTGTTTAAAAGCTTATAAACCTATGCCACCTTGAATGTATGAAGTCATAGCTAGAAATTTCCTTTCAGAGAGTTCAAAGAGTGAAGAATATGCTAAAGTATTTTATTTTGATCCTCAGATATACTATAAAGATTCTGCATTTTCACAGCACCACACTGAGGTAGGCATTTTCCTTGGAGAAGCCATCCAATTGTTCCTACGGAATAAATTGAGAAATACAGATATCAAGGACCAAAATTTTAGTACCCGCTAAATTAGTCATTGAAGTTTGAAAGATAATGACCTTGGATGCCATGATCAGCCAAGAAGGATGGATCCATTCAAAAGGACTATGCATCCTGTCATGGCTGAAGCCAGTAAGAGCTGAGGACGCTCGGCCTGTATGGAAGTAATTTTTATCTTAGAATGGGTAGCAAGAAAAAGACATTTGTAATCAGGCAAGACTTCTGAAATCATGAATAAATGTTGAATTTCTAGGATAACAGAGCAGAAAAGGAAACAAAGCAAGATCCTTTTTTCCTTTTTTTTTTTTCTGTCCTCAATATCATAAAGAGTTTAATTGGAGCACAGAAAAAAATAGGAAGGAAAGACTGGGTGCATCCTTCATCTGTTTCTTTCTTTTACAGCAAGAAGAACATGTGCCATACACTGCCTGTGGGAAGTGCATACGGATGACTTTCTGTACAAGTGCCATCTTCTTCTGGGTAAAGTTCTTCTCTTACTCTTTCCCTTCATGAATTCACTTTTTTAGTAAGTGTCTGAAAAGTGATCCTCCTGAACTGAACAAAAAATGACAATGGAACAGGCTCAGTTGAATTTCCATCTGATGCATAAATCAAGCCCATAAGGTATGGACCCACAAGGAGAAGGTAACTGTAGTCACCCAATACTCATTACCATACAGTATCAAAATATCCTGCAGCTGTAGCTTGTGAGTTATGCTTGTCATTGTGGTCCATTGGTTTTTCCCTCATTATTTTAAGGCAAATGGCTTTACATTTGGGGGGGGGCGGGGAGTAAGGGAAAGACTTTGGTTTATATGCTCTCCTCCCTGCTAGTTTCTATCCTTCTTGTTGCATCTGTGTGCTTCCATGTTGTGTTTCATAGTCCATGGCCTCTTTCAGTTTTGTTTTTTTTTCACTTAACCGAGCGGAGCTACGTGCTTTCCAATTTTCTAGAAATGCTGCTTTATTTACAACCAAACCTTGAAAGCAGTACAGTTACCCATGAAACAACACGTGACACAGTGAGTGAGCTGGCCCAGAGAGGTTGCCTTGAAAAGCTCTGTGTTTTAGCATCCTGCATGTCCTCCTCTGTAGCACAAACAGCAGCTGAAAAAGACCTCATCCTAGGTGAGAAGAGATAGAGTGGTGTCTGGCAGCCCAGGAGAGCCTCAGTGTTGACACAGTTGAAACACAAAGGAAGGAATACTGACTTGCAATTGGATTTAAATGGGCAAGACTTCAGGTTGGAGGGGATATTTGGTCTGTGTTTATCATTTGTGTTACTGCACTCTTAGTGTGTGCAGGGTCAGGGGAGGTAGTTCATGATAGTTTGCTGAGATAGTGAAAAAAAGATACACAGCTCTGTGGACCTCAAACTGAATAATAGCTAGAGAATTATGAAGAAATAAAAGCAGGAGGAGAAGCAGAAAGAGATGATAAGCAAGATGGGGTGCATGGATCATTATTACAACTCCTGCAGACCACATGACTTGGCTTAAAATTTGTCTATTCCTTTGAGAGGTCTGTAGTCTGTAGTAGTATCACATGGAGGAGAATGTGCAGCCCCCTCCATAATCAGTGCAGACTTGCTAGTACATTTTGCTGTCCTGCCAATTGCTTAATGTCAAAAGAGGGAGTTTTCTCCCATCACGTCTTAAGGTGTAAGATTTGATAACAGATATCATTATGCTCACATCGGTACAAACCTTGTTATTAGCCATAAAACAGACCATCTTTCCTGCAGATTGACTATGATGCGTGAAAAAAGGCTTCTTTTATGGATTCTCTGTTTATTGCCTTCTATCTTATTTGACCATCCTCTTGCAATGGAACGACAGGCACAAAATTGCTTTCCTTTTGCCTATTGTAAAAAGTGTTTCAAACTCACATTTTCCTAAAGCCAGTGGTTGAACATTAACATATTTCTTGCATTCCCTTGGCAGATCCTTTTGATTATTGCTTCAGTTATTGGAATCATTGTCTACAGGCTCTCAGTTTTCCTGGTGTTCTCTGCAACATTGTCACAGCACCTTAGTGGAACCGAGGCGATCCGCAAGTACCTGACTCCACAGACAGCCACTTCAGTGACCGCTTCTGTCATCAGCTTTGTAGTCATTATGATTCTCAACATCATCTATGAAAAAGTGGCAATCCTGATTACCGACTTCGGTATGCAGCTGCTGTACCTCAGATAGAAACTTGGGGTAAAATAGCTAGAAAAAAATTAGCATATTTATATATATAATAAGTATTTTGATAAATGAAAACCTAGACTACATATTTCAGAATTTTCCCACCAAATCACACAGTACCCCCCAGAAATTTTACAATATAGATTTTCTTAGTATCAAAGGAATATGATATTCAGCTCTTTGCCTGAAAAGTCCTTGTATAGGCAGCATGAAAGATCAATTGTTTACAGTTTTGTGCTTGTGAAACAGACAAAGCAAAGAAAATTACTATAACAACCAAGCTTTATGAAAAGAGATCAGAAGGCATAGCACATTCAATTACATTAACTTTTGTTTATGGGAAAAATATCTATCTGGTAATAAGTGAAATAAGGTCACAGTTCCAAAGCTACATACCATTCTGATGTTATTAAACAGATAAACAGTCACAAATAATATTATTCTTTCTATCCAGTCCATCAACATTAAAGTAGCTATTTTACTTTAGATGTGTGAAGTAGTGCGTTGTTTTAATATAATTTCATTTTATGCTTTTTCATCAGTTCAAAGTGTTACAATTGCATCTTTCCTGAGTGTGCTGGATTTGGGTGCTTTTTTTTCCCCTGAGTTACCAGAATTTTTGCTGCTTCTTTTTCTTTATTGTTGGGGAACTAGTTCTTTCCTTTTTACAATCCATGTAGTTTTAGAATTAGCATAATGGTATAGTATATTAGTATACATGAGGATTATGCACAATCTAATTTATAGTGCTCTCAGTCATATTAAGGCATACGAGGCATACAGATACTTTGCAGCTGAGACTCTAAAGCAGCTTGTAGGTTACTTGTAGGTTGGGGGGGTTATTATTATTTTATTTATTTACTTTTCTTTCATTGCAGAACTTCCAAGGACACAGACTGATTATGAAAACAGTCTGACCACAAAGATGTTCTTGTTCCAATTTGTCAACTACTATTCTTCATGCTTCTACATAGCCTTCTTTAAGGGGAAATTTGTAGGTCACCCTGGAAATCCAGTTTATTGGCTGGGAAAGTATCGCAATGAAGAGGTAAGAATGTATAATTAGTCCAGGTATTCTTCTGCAGAGTGTATAACATGAAACGTCGTTACGCATATTTAACATAAGGGTTTAAAAGGTGACTGCCTTCCAAGCCAATTGCCTCCTCAGTAGCCCTTAGCAAAGAATATGACACAATGTATTACCCAGAAATGTACATACCCAGAAAAACATATTTTACCATGGTCCTACAATCTGTGAATTGGCACACAGGAAGGGGAGAACATCAGTAGAAACATTCCTATTCTGCTGGTTGACCCTCACCTAGTGAAAGCACAGAGCTGCATGACTTCACCTAGTATTTCACTGTTTCAGTCATGTCCTGTCAACCTACCAAATGTGACTATATGTGGCCTGGAATTGGTTTTTGCATACCTTACTGGAAAGGTTTGCCTAGACAGTCTTCTTGGATTACTTTAAGAAATGTTAATATAATAAACCAGGAATGCATTATTTTAAATGTTTCATTCATGCCTGAAAAGTTACCCAACTTCAAAAGTTTTTCATGTCTCTCCCAACCTTCAGTGTGATCCAGGTGGATGTCTTCTTGAGCTCACAACCCAGCTTGCCATCATAGTAGGAGGTAAAGCTATCTGGAACAATATTCAAGAAGTGCTTCTTCCGTAAGTTCAAACTACTAAGTAATCTGCTATTTCATATTTGAAAGATACTGTTTTCTTGATGCCTTCAGGGACTTGGTCACTAAGTTTAGTAAGTGCATATTGTAGTCAAAAAGAATAAGACATACTTTGGGGCCTTTTTAGACAATTTGGATATTTTGGTCTGTAGTCTGAGTCCTGTCTCTGTTGTTTTGACTGATTTTAGTTCTAATCAGAAATTCTTCCTTCCTCAGCAAGTCAAACTCAATGGGTTTCAGGTTGAATATTTAAAACCGAGGCCATAGAAGCTCTGAAAATATTAAACTGAAGACTGTTGCTTAATATTGATTAGAATGATTTGTTGTTTTACACTGGGCTTTTAAAAGTCATGTATAAGTTACTAATTTAACTAATTTAGTTTTACAGTCATATTTGACATTCCTAATGCCTATACATTCTCTTTCATTTGAGTAGATCTCTAGATCTTTCATGTTTTAATGCAAGCAATAAGCAGAGTGCTAACCACGAATGCCCTCTATTTAATTTAGGCTAAGATACTATCAAGGACTCTGTTCCTTCTCCCATAACTTGTTCTTTATTTCATGCTAATCAGTGAGTGTTATGTTGCTTGGATTAGGGAGCTCCCAGTTTGCTCATACACTCCTGAATGCCATAGGCACCAGCCCATAAGCACAGCCTTCTGGCTGTGGTTCTTCCAAGCCCACAAATTGTCTTCCTTGTCTGCACAGTAACCCCACTACAAAGTGTGTCATAAATACTGTGTAGGGTTGAGACTAGGATGCTCTGTTGAGATACAGTACCTCCAGACCACAATGCTCTGTATACGCTGATGGTTGTGGAGTAGACCTGTAGACCTGTAGACTCATCCTTGTTTTCAACATCTTCTTTTACCTGAGAAAGGGTTCCCACACTGAGCACACCTGCAGATGTGAGCTCCAGCCATAGACAATTGACTTCCCCATCTGTGTACAGGAAATATATTCATCTGACCGGAATTTTTAATTCACTTCCCAGGGTGACATTTACATGTTGAAATGCTGAGTACCCCTTCTGGATCTAGTTCTTATGTGCTCTCTGATTCTGTATATCTGCAAGTATAAAGAGAACCATTTTGGCTTTTTCTCTGTTGGTACACATTCGCCCCCAGCCCCTCTTTTTTTACTGTGAGGGTGACCAAGTACTGGCACACATTGCCAAAGGAGGTTGTGCAGTCTCTATCATTAGAGATACTGAAAAGCCACCTGAACATGGTCCTGGGCAACTGGCTTTAGGTGGCCCTGCCTGCACAAGGCAGAGATGCCTTCCAACCTCAATCATTCTGTGATTCTGTGAATTCTGTGATCAGAAAGAATTAATCTGTCTAGCCACCATCCTACATTTAACTTGATTTTTTGTTACCTTGAATTTTATGTGATCATTTTCCTGTACAACTTAAGTATAAATCACTATGGTGCTGATATATCGCTCCTTTACACTTTTATTTATGGTTTGTAAATAACCACTTTTAGGATAAGGCAACCAAAGTTTATACTCATGTTTGAAGGAAGTTTTCAGTAGTTCAGAAATAACTAAATCCTTTGTTTAAAGCTGTAACAGCAGAAATGTCATTTTTTTTCATTTAATGAACTTTTTAGGTTATTTTACCAGTGCTAGTGTTCTTTTTCTCCCTGGCTGATAGCGTGGTCAAGAACCTAATTGGAAGATACTCTGCAGCTGCTAGATCAGAAAAAGTTGTTCCACGGTGGGAAGAAGACTACCACCTGCAGCCCATTGGAAAACTTGGATTGTTTTATGAGTATCTTGAAATGGGTAAGTAGCAGTTTAGTTTGGATTCACTACCACTGCTGGATACAAACATGTTCTAAAAAAATCTTCATACAAGCAATGCTTAATAAGGTAGACAGAGGAGACATGAATGTTTTCAAAGGCAAGTTTTGATGAGCCATTACAGGTGATTTTACAAGCTTTTATTAAGCAGCTAAGCCTCAGCCCAGTTTATAACTAGGAAAGAGCACATGATTGTACAAGGAGTACTGTTGCTTCCTTGCCCCATTCTCTGAGGAATGCACCCGGAAGGCAGACCACCGTCATGTACTGGTGTTGTACAGAAGAGCCCCGTGTCAGACTGCTCTCCTAGAGGTCTTCAGTCACCAGGATTTGTTGCTGGTCACTTGGGAGTTGGCAGAGCTCCAGTTTGTTGCCACCATCCATTCTATCACAGCATTTCCAGTGTATTTGTGGCAGCACCCAGACACCAGTAAGATGATTGTTGGTTTGGGCTTTCCAGCACAGCACCAAGACAGTCACTAGATTTTTGGGTCTTCATGATGAAGACATCAGAAAGAAATGGATTTTTAAATATCCAGAATAGTTCCTCTTGGTGTGTTGTGACTTGTGACATTTTCCTGTACCCTTCACCTAGCAGGTTTTTTCAGTACTGTTGTGCTCCTATCTTCTCATACAGAAGATTCACTTGGAACCCAGCTACTCTTTCTTGTTTCTCTTTCCTGCAGTAGGAGTATATAAACTGTACATGCTCATACATGCTTATCTCCAGTAAGTGAAAGCCTCATCGATGTATGTAACCTCTCCCTTTCAGTTATACAGTTTGGCTTTGTGACTCTGTTTGTGGCATCATTCCCCCTGGCTCCTCTTCTGGCTCTTATTAACAACATGTTGGAAATCCGGTTGGATGCGTGGAAGCTGACAACCCAATTCAGGCGCATGGTTCCGCAGAAGGCACAAGACATTGGTGCCTGGCAACCCATCCTGCAGGGCATAGCCATTCTGGCTGTGGTCACCAATGTAAGTACAATGCCAACAATTGCAAAAGATAAAATGCCTTCACTGCAGGTCCTATGTCCAAATATGGGAATGCTGCATGTGGTAATGTAATTTAAATAATCGTAAATGAATTACAAACATCAGTTGCTTAAGGCTTCAGCCCATGTAAATAGTCTCTCAGTTACTTTCCAGGAGTTTTAGAAACAGAATATGTCTGCTGCCTGAAATATTATATCTAAAGAAAAAGGTGTGTTTAGAGTTGCTAGCATCTTCAGAAAAATCTGTTACTTGTGAAGAATATAGCACATCTTTCCTAAAATTATAGCATATAGTGCAGAGGGTTTTTTTGACAGTCTACAGCTAAATGCATGAATTTTGAAAAAAAAAAAAAAAGAAAGTTGAAGTTTAACTATGTTATAATTGATTGTTATTTCTTAAAACAGAAATTCAACTCCTTTCTTGTGTATTTAAAAATTGTGCGCTCAAAATTGCAGATCACAATGAATTTTCTGAGAATTTGCAAACTAATGTGTTTTTCAGTTGTGCTTAAAATTTTTAAGTACACAGGAAAGAAGTTAAATTTTAAACAAGTTTCTTTAAAATATTTAGGAAAAAACGTCTGATGAATATACTACTAACAATGAAATTCAGACCTTTCAAATTTCCTGTATCATTAATTCACCAAGATCTTATTCATAGGCTGCATTGTGGGAAGCCAAGTAAGCCATTGGACTTTACCACTGTGGATTATTTGATTGCTTATTCTTAAACAGTAACTAGTATGTATTAACTTATAAAAAAATTCTCACTGATGGCCTATTAGAGGAGCAGTGACCATTGGTTTCCTCTGCACCACAGACTATCCATGAATAACCTTTTTCAACAAGGTCAGTGTTTTCTGCTGTTTATCAGTGAGATCAGGGATTCCTTCCAACTCACTTAAAGGTGTGTCACTTCCTCCAGGACCTGGTCCTTGCGGTAACAGAACCTCACTGACTTAGTAGGATTTTCTGGAGAAAGCAGCTGAGTCTGAAGACAAGAGTTCATCTTAGCCAAGCTTTCATAGGAGGCTCTGCCTGTTTGGAGAATAGTGGACTTTGGGAAAGAGGAGAGAGATGAAACTGAGCACTCTATTATAGATATTAACATGATAGTTGGGGGACTTATTTCAAGTAAAAGAGCAATTCAAATTTAAATAAGAAATAAACTTATATTCCTGTATCTCAGGCATCTTCTGTAATGCTTGGGCTCATCTGAGGTCTCAACCCCAGGGGTTATACTTTTCTGAAATAATATAGGGATAGATATATGTGCTGCCTTTTCCTGCACCCAGATGAGTATCCCTGCATATTTTTTCCCCTCCACTTTGTCTTTGCTTTGCCCCTGAAAGTGTAAGTCTAATTTTAAAAAACAGATATATGAGCTTCGATGACCTGACTTCCTTTTGGGTTATCATGGTCTCAGTGGCTTGTTTTCGTTATATCAGGGGCTTAGGGAAGTTCCATATAGAAATAAGAGTCTACAGTGGATTTCAGTGGTCAGGAAAATTTTGTATGTCAGCCTCAGCTACCAGATGTATTTTCAGATATTTGAAGATCTCCCAAAATGGCAATTGTTCTTGTTCAGAACTTTATTTGGCACTATAACAATTGAACAGGTATTTTAAACAGTTAGGATGTAGAAAGGAGTCTCAGAAGGACATAAAGGCAGAGAATTAAGCACAGGGAAATGTCAAAGGGAAAAAGGGAACTTAAGGATGGAAAATTTACAAGAGAATCTAGGAGACAGACAGCAAGCTTGAGCATATGTTCAGTCTGTTTTGCGCTGCTCTGCTGAGGCAAGCCAAACATAAATCCAGTTGTTTCATAGGCAGGTGAACATCCAAGGCCTCCTAGTAAATCTGGTGTTAAGAAAAAAAATAAATGCAACTTCGGTAATGTGTTCAGATTGTTAGAAAAATCATGTGGCACCAGAGATACTTTGGGGCTCTTGGTTTAGTGCTTCTGCAAAAAATAATTATAACTATCCCAGCAAATTATGCAAATCCCAGCAGATAATGCAAATTCACAGATGAAGCATAGCTTCATAGATCTAGCATTGTTACAAGTAGAGGCAACTTATTGGATCAGTAATATTCTCTTTTGAAATATACTGCTAGAAAACTTGTAAAATAAAAGGAAGAAAAATTTTTTGTGCCCTGGAAGAAAAACAAATATGTTATGCTATTGGATAAACTAGCTGGTTTTCCTAGTCAATCCAGGTGGATCTTGTAATACCAAGATGAAATTAGAAGTTGAATATACATCTCGAGATTACTTTAAAATCTTATACCTCAGTCGTAGTTCTTACACTATTCAGGTCAGAGTTAAAGTGGCTTTGGTGACCTTACGGTAACTCGAACCTGTGTAGGCTCCTGTTAGGAGTTTGTTCATGCCCAGCTTTCTGCAGTTAATGTCAGTGTGAACACAAGGCATCTGCCGATGACCTCAGTGGGGCTGTTGGTGTGCAAAGGGCTCAGCACCGAAGACTGTCGTGTTCAAACAGCCTTGCTGCAGGTGTTGTGGACTTTAAAGAGATTAGTATTTCTTGCCAATGAAGTGTGGGCTATAAAGTCATGTGCTAGACCAAACGCTAGAAGCAGATGTTTGTTTAGTTAGTTGACATCCAGAATCTAGTATAGGTCGTTCCTTTACCATCCTTGACTTGATTTTTCCTTAGTACACAGAAACTGTTTCTTCTCTTCTACATGACTTGCTACAGCTGATTAGACTTCGGTAGTGTATCATCTTCTTCATGCATAACCTTTGTAACACCTGCTTGCAACTTGTAAGCAACTTTTGCACAAAGCTATCAGTTTTGAGAGTTGCCACTCAGGCACTGGACTTGCTATTGCATGATACCAAAGCATCTGTTGTTGATTGGAAGACTGCTTTTAATTAGTTATGGTGTAAATGGAAAACTGTGTGCAGTAAAGCTTGAGAAGCAAAGAATGTGCTGTTTGTTTGTAGTTCTCCAGCGCAATGCTCTGGAATGCAGCCCATAATTCAAGAGGAAAAAAATTTTCCTTTGAGAGCATGCCGCAGGATTAGCTTTCGTATTTCTGTCCTTGAAGCTCTCCAGAGCACATCTGGAGATCATTTCAAGAGAAGGAGGAGAGTGAGACAGTGTTCAGATGTAGGATGATGAGAAACCTGGGGCCTTGCAAAAAAAAAAAAAAATCAGTAAGATCAAGTATTAAGCTGTGTAAATACCATATTCCAGCATCTTTCTAAAGGATACAAAAAGCACCGTCAAACTCATTTTGCTGAAAGAGAGAAGGGATTTTTTTGCTTTAATGTTAAGTTGCTAATAGTTCATTTATGGTCTGACTAGATGAACTAATGAACAGAAAGAAAATATATTTAACAAAAAAATTTCTGTGCTTGTAGCTCACGGTACAAGTACTCTACTTGTACCCTACTTTTAACTCTTCTTCAGAGATAAAAACAATAATTTAGCTGTGGGGTCGTCTCCCTGCAACTGCAAGACACAGTGATATATATTTCTTGTCAGTCAAAAACGCCTACTCAGCATGTAAATATAAACAACACATAATTTTCACTTCATTTCATACTGGCATGTAATGCTTAAAAACAGTATTTAAAAGTGCATGCCAACCACATTTGCTTTAAGCCAAAATGCAGTACAACAAAAACACCCTATCCTTGAAAATTTTCAGTGAGTTTATTTTGGTCTTAGGATGCCTCCCTTTTCTTTCTCATCAGCCAAATTAACTTTCTCTCAGCTGAACTCACTTGTAACAATATTCTGGAGAACCAAATACTGATCTTGGACCACAGTCTCAAAAAGATTGTTTCTGCAACTTTTATCTTAACTACAGTTTAGCTTCTCAGGTTTTTCAAAGCTAACTCAAAAGGTAAGACAGTAGGATAGTGTTTGTAATTTGGCAGTGATGCTACTTGAGGTAGGGTGGATCTTGTACCCTTTTCAACTCCCTGCCCTTTCCCTTCCCTTTTCTGTCTTTTCCCCTTATTGCTGTCTCTTGTGTTTTGCCGGCACCAGCATTTTGATCAACACATGATGAACCAGATCAGGGAAAGGATCCAGCAGAGATTCCCAATTTGTAGTTTGTAGATCAGCACCATGATTCTGATCTGCTGCACAGGGCCAGGAATGCCCAAGCCAGCACAGGGCACAAGTGAACTGCTAGAGGCAGAGGCAGGAGGTTGTTTTATCTAGCACTGCCATCAATGCATTGCTCAAGGAACTGTAGAAGAGGTATCTGCATTGGTTTTTTTCACCCTTTCTCCTCTCTCCCCTTCCCTTTATTGACAACTGTTAACAAATACCTCCTCAGGCTGGGGCTGTCTGGCTGGGAATGCTGCACAAAGGTCGACAATTTTTGCCCCATGTCATGAAAATAAGGAAATACAGACTTCATGAATTGTGGACTGGCATGAAAAGGAATAAAATACCCAGGAATAAAATACACAGGAGCTTTTATGCTCCTCTGTTACCCATTACTGCTTAACTTCGCCCCTACCTCTGTCCCATGATTTTCCTGTAGCTTTTTTCTACACCTTTTATACATCTCTGTCTAAAGCTCCCTTCCCCTGATCTCATTAGATCCCTTCTTCACACATTTCTCCTCCATGTCTCTGCCCTGGTTCTTTCCAACCACGTTGTCTAGTATTTTTTTTACCCTGGCATGGGGTAAAACACTTCTCTGGAGTGCAGCTGGTCACTCCTTCCAAGGTGCTGGGCATCAGAGATGCCTGTTGTCATGAGCTGGCTGGGCAGCCTCTTGCTAGACACTCAGCTGCAGATCTTGCCAGTGGAAAGTCTTCTTCACAGGGAAACCCTTTGAACTTGCAGTTGCAGGGGAGGAGACTGGATTAAACATAGTTAACCTGTCCTCCAGAATAGGATGTTTTGGGAAGTTCATGAGTTCAGAAAACACTTCCCACAACAAACACACAGATCAAATTTCCTACCCAGTTTGTGACTAGCAGACTGAGTAGGACAGGAACTCTCTTGGGAGCAACATAAAAACAAATGGTCACGTCATACATAAAACAACACTATACAGCTGCTACTAAAAAAATTATTTTGGCATCAAGAGCAGTTTCCACATGTACAACACTGAAACTTAGGAGGCAACAACTACCAAGATGAATTTGGGCTTGATAGCCCCTCAGATAGAGTGAGGTGTTTGTAGGGTCAGAGATGGATCAGGTTTATATCTAATTTATTTAATTCCTTTACTTGAACATCAGGGATCCTAGTGAAATTTAATGTTTATTACTGAAGAACTCTTCTGTTGTTTCCATGAGTTTCATCAGGCAGGATTTCTTTAAGCATCTCATCAATACTTTTGATAACAAGCACATCTTTTTAAGGTTACCCTAGAGTACTTTAAGGTGAGTTTGGCTGCTAATGTCCTTTGCATGCTCATGAGAAAAAAAAAGCGTGTTATAGTATAACTTTTTTAAGGCATCCAGAAGAGCTAGTGTAATTTAAAAACTCTACGGAGTGCACATGCCAGAAAGAGATTGTTTTGTGCCTGTGAGAGACTATGTGCTCATTTACAGAGTGAACAACCACTGACTGGAAAAGCACATATTTTCTATTTTTAGCTTATATTCTAACTTTTGAGATACTAAATATATGGCAAAGGAATGTATATTAAGGCTTATTTCTTTAATGCTGTTCTGCTTTTTTGTCTTGTCTTTCTGAAACGCAGGCTATGATCATTGCTTTTACATCTGACATGATTCCTCGTCTGGTTTATTACTGGTCCTTTTCAGTCCCTCCTTATGGGAGTCACAGCAGTCACACTATGAAAGGGTATATAAACAGCACACTTTCTATCTTCAATGTATCAGACTTCAAGAACGCAAGCAAGCCATTTTCCCCTTGGTTTGGGAACCAAACCACATGCAGGCAAGTATCAAATAAGCATTTGTCATTTTCCAATGACAAAAATAATTTTTTTGATATCCAAATCATGTCATTCAATTAACAATATCCAGTAAGAAATGTTAAAACACAGGAAAAGCCATCGTATTTTGAATGGCAGAACTGAGATGAAGTATTCATCCATAAGTTTGTGCTACTCAGAAAATTCTTACTTTGATTTGGTTTTCTCATAATTGATAGTCTTCCTAAAAAGCACCTTTAATTTTTTATAAGTAATTCTTAATAAAGTGGCAAAAATAGGATATTTCAGCCAAATGTAGCTCATCTGTAGAAATGATTTTACCCACTACGGTAGTTTCCTGAGCTAACTGTTCCTGGATGCATTAAGCAGCGACATGTCTTGCTCCATCCTCTGGCCACAGTGCTGTACTGCAGAGATGCCGGAGACAAGTTCCTGACTTTCCTACATTGCTTTCAGATACCGGGATCTCCGCTACCCTCCTGGTCACCAGCACCAGTATGAGCACAACATATACTACTGGCATGTCATTGCAGCCAAGCTGGCTTTTGTCATTGTCATGGAGGTCGGTGTACAGGGTTTTGAGCATTACTTATTTAGTCTCTTCCCTCCTGGCAGAAAATCCTTCAGAGACATTCTGTCCAGGCACAGCTATCAGAGCTGGTGATGTGTGCTATCATGAGCAACAGCTTGGGAGATGTAAATTAAGTGTAGCACCATTAGAAAAAAAAGTCCCTGAAGTTATGATATCAGCTGAGGATTGTCCCACGTGTTTGCAGCTTCTTTTCTCAAGAACTGTGAAATTATTTTCAGTAGCAGAAATAGAAGGGATATTTGCACCAAAAATATTTTCACATGTACTGAGAGGAAATTTGCACACAGCCTCATGAATGTATATACATAATACATGTGCACTAGCAGACTGAAGTCTATAGAAACAATCACTGCAAGAGGTGAGTCTCTAGGTGATTGTCAAAAAACAATTGCTCTTTCCTCTACTTGGCTTACGAAAGATGAGAGTCAGTCCAAAATGAAGGGAGAGAAATATTAGGTATTATTTAATCATAAAATGTGCTTAGGGTCTGATCCAAGGACTACTGAAGTCGTCAGAAACATGCAACTGGTTAGAGCAGAGTTCCCATAGCAAAGTAATTGCCCCAGAGTCATTTGAACAAACCTAAAAAATCTTATAAGAAACTGTAACCAATTTTTCCAAACAGGGTGGAAGCACTGGGTACCAAGGTTCCCCCAAAACAGGCAGAGAAGTCCTTGCTTAAATCAGAGTTAGAAAATCAGAAATTCTTGTTTATCAGATAATTATTCTATTGATTAGTCATATCTTCTTAAAATACTGTTCTGCTGTGATAGATACTGGTACTGAATCAGCTTAGAGTCTTAAGAGATAATGTGACATTTCATTTATAATCATAATAATGTCCTGTTCAGCCTGACTGACATTTTTTCATTTTCATCTTTCCCAGCATGTCATATATTTTGTGAAGTTTATTATTTCATATGCAATTCCGGATGTATCACAAAAGACCAAGAGCAAGGTCAAACGAGAGAAGTACCTCACACAAAAACTCTTGCACGAGAACAATCTCAAAGTTGTGAAAAAAAACATGGGTAAAATAGCTGACAAAGTTACCAAAGGAGCAGACAGCACTTTCCGACCCAAAGCTGAATAAGTAATTTTCATATAGAATAACAGTATTTAGCCAACTACAACCTGTCCAGATATTACCTATAGCTAATAAAACACTTTGGATTAATTCTCTTTACTAAACATTATTTCTTGTAACTGTTTCATTTACCAGTTTCCCTTAGACAAATGCAACCACTGCAACTCAGATTAGAGTTACCAATTTTTTAAACAGCTTTAGTGGGACTTTTTTTTAACATGTGAAGATAAAAATTACTTATCATCTAAAGGCAACGCAGATTAACTCCCAAATATATAGAGTGCTTTGTACTTTTTTTAGGCATCAGCTACTAGATAACTAGTTTGAACGGAATACAAATGATTTGTGGTAAGAATATCATCACATCTAATGAAGAGTTTTGATTGCTTGCTAATACAAACTTCAACTATAAAATGAAGAGGAAAAGCCAAAATATGAAGGAAAGAGAAAGAAAATACAACTCAAAATCATGTTGTTAAGCCATTGGAATTGACATGCTAAGAGCAGTTGTTTGCTACCCTGAATTATTTATGCATACTGAGACTTAAATGGATAAAACAAGATATTTCAATTAATCATGGACTTGGATCACAAGAAGCAACAGGACTGTAAGCCCATCCTGTTCATCAATCTCAGTGTAAACAGGAGAATTGCCTTTGAAATCAATGCATACAAACTAACACTCCAAGTGAGTAAAAAACTCAGGCATTTTATCTTTCCCCGGTCAATGTATTTTCATTAGTTGACTTGCCCGTTCTACACTAAATGCCCAAAGCCTTGAAGGTCTCCTACCTGTAAAAGCAATAAGTGTTATAAGTCTTTTCACGTACTAAATCAATATTTGTGGAGGGCTGTCTTTTGCATTTCTCTCACACCAGGAGCACTGCGCTCTTCCCTGAGATTTTGACATGGGATGAATGTGCAGCTGGACCTGTTATGATACAACAGTGTGATAAAGTGAGTTCTGACAAGACTGTGAATCTATTGAAACTGGAGTTTGGAATAAACCATTTAGTAGGCCTTAACCATGCTACGGAGCTTTAAATAACGGGGAAGGATGTTAGAGGTGTGGAGGCATGTGCTACAGCCATCAGTCATCTTCAAATTAGGCTGAAGATCTGCTTGGCTATTTTGGGACCAGCCGCAAACTGGGAAATAGGGAAGTAGAGACAGTAGAGACTGCTATGTGTCTGCAGCAGTGATATTCCAGATTATTAACTTGCTTTCTCTTTTAACGGTTTTAATGGACCAATTTCTATAAATTTCTATAAATCACAAAAACCCAAATCTTGTTAAAAAAGCAAAGCTATGTTTGTAATCTATAAACCAGGTGATTACTTTGTGTTTGTAATTTTGTACTCTTAAATGCAATAGATAGGCAGAATTTTTAGGCACATTATTCATATCCGTTTTTACTTATTAAGAATTTCATTTGCAGAAACTAAGTAGCATTTGTAAGATAAATATTATTCCATTAATAATCAGAAGGAATCAAACCTTTGAATTTTGTAGCAAAACTTCCAAATACTGGCTGCTGTGTAGCTCAAGCCTGTCTTTTGAAGAGAAACATACAGAACCATAGGATCATTTAGGTTGGAAAAGACCTGGAAGATCATCCAACCATCAAATCAAGACTGCCAAATCCATAACCATGTCCTGGAGTGCAACTTTTACATGTCTTTTAAGTATCACTCTCTGGGCCCAGCTGTCCAGCCAGTTTTTTTACCCAGTGAACAGTATGTCTGTCCAAACCATGAGCATCAGCTCAGTACCCTTGGATGGATCCTGTCCAAATCCAGAGACCTGTGTGTGTCTAAGTGGCGCAGCAGATTACTGACCATTTCCCCTTGGATTATGAGGACTTCATTCTGCTCTCTGTCCCTGTCTCCCAGCTCAGGGAGCTGAGTACTCGAGGGGCAACTAGTTTGACTACTAAAGACTGAGCCAAAGGTAGCTTTAAGTACCTCAGCCTTTTCCTCCTTCATTGTTACTGTGTTTCTCCCCCATATCCAATAAAAGATGAAGAGTCTCCTTAGTCCTCCTTTTGTTGCTAATATATTTATAAAAACATTTTTCGTTGTCTTTTACAACAGTAGCCAGATGAAGTTCTAGCTGTGCTTTGGTTTGGCCCTTCTAATTTTCTCCCTGTATAACCTCACAACATCCTTGGTAGTCCTCCTGAGCTGCCTGCCCCTTCTTCCAAAGGTTTTAAACTCTCCTTTCTTGCATGATACCAGCCAAAGCTCTCTGTTCAGCCAGGTCAGTCTTCTTTTCCTCTTTTTAGTATTTCCAAGGATGGAGACTCCACAACCTCCCTGGGCAACCTCCCTGCCAGTGTTCAGTCATCCTCACCGTGAAAAAGTGTTTCAGTTTGTGACCACTGCTTCTGGTCCTGTCACTGCACATGGCATACCAAATTTTTGGTTAAAACAGTGTTTCTTTCCAAAAAACTGTTTCAACTGTTTCAAGGAACAATTTTATTGAAATACTCAGGACTTTCTTGTGCAAAATGAGTTGGGTTAGAAAGGACAGCCAGCTCCTTTCGTACTTGCAGCTTTTGATTTTAGCTTTCAGCTGGCCCTTTCCCATGTGCAGTGGCGTTCAGATGAGAGATACCATTTTCATTCTTCCGTTAGTGATCACAGCACTAGTGTGCCTTTAATACCTTTCCAGATGCTATGTTAGAAGGCTGGGGCAGGGAAGAAGGCATTCTGTGGTAAGGGAGGGACAAATGCAGGGCAAAGTGGACCATTTCAGGTAATTATTTGGTCTTCTGGTAGCATTTGTAGCCTTCTTTGAGAGGTAAAGAGACTAGGAAAAAAGGAATTGAATGTCTTGCCTGGGGTCATACTGTGAGCAATGGCAGAGCTTAAGGCTGATTTTCAGGAGTGCCTGGTCTTTTGCTCCTTGTTTGATTCCTGTGGGCTCTCCAAGTTGTTCCTTTTTACATTGGTTGGCACCATTTCCTTAAGGGGGAGTTGGCCCTCAGTGTCATCGGGAGTTTATATTCCTGCCTTTAAAATAAGGATTTAAAAAACCACACTGTATCAGCAAAGCGTGTGTATCTGACTTGAGCTCCTCCCATAATAAAATCCTAATCAGCTTTGAATGTGTTTCTACTTAACCATTTTTGTTCAAATGACAAGTGTGCTTTTGAAAGTGGTCTTCCACTTGTCCCCATTTTCTGGGCAGTTCTCCCCATCACAGACTGGTCTCAGTGCACATGGACTGACTTCCTCTTGGTTTAAACTGAACTAGAAAGCAGGGTTTAGATATGCACTTAATTGTCACTGTCAGGCACTCAGTAGGCAGAGCTGAAACCGGAGCTAGGCTGAAGAGAGCAGTGAGTGCTGCGTGGGAATCACCTAGTCAACATTAACTTTTTGCTCTAGTGATTTACTTCTGAAATGCCATGCTCCTTGCTAATGTAGCTGTAACATTTCATTTCAGAAGACATTACATCAGGAATTCTGTTCAGTTTGCCATGTGCACAGTGTTATCCACAGCAGATTTCTGAGTGAGAAAACCAACAGAGTGCGTAATAATTGCATTTTAATAACTTGATTTAAGCTGTGCAATTTCTGTAGCCTCTACCTCCAAGTGCTGAAATGTGCTTTGCTTGTACACAGGGAGCTCTGCAGAGGCATCAGAACAAAATGCTGGGGGAGGCAGTTGCCAAAAAATGAGTATTTGTAACATTTTTTTTTAGGCTGGGTCATTTTAATTAAAGATCTGCTTGAAGGGAAAACTAACATTTATTTTAAATTGATGGTACCTTTTTTTCTTTCACACTTGATATGTAGGCCAGACTCTTACTTTGTACAGATCTGTTGAAGTCAGGGTGAATTTGGACCAGTGACAGTTTCACTGCATTAACAAGACCATAAGTTACAGACTGTTGTCACTGTTTTAGACTGTGTATATGATGATAAAATTCAGAATGTAAGAATGTATGTTTTGTATTTTTTCTAAGAATGTTCGCTATTAGTTTCTGAATATTAAGATTTCTTTATATTTATTGTCATTAAAGTCTATTTTAAAATAACAGTACATCTGATGTTGTTTAGCATTGTGTGATTTTCTGTGAACGATATTTCTGCTGCCAAATGCCACATTTAAATTATTACAATGTCATCCCTATCTAATTTCCATATTCATCCTCTTTTTCAATCTTTTTCCGTTAAACTGTTACTATTGCTGAAATTTATCTCCTGCTTTTTAATGCATCTCCTAGATGGAAGTCATTCCTTCCAACACCAAGTTGATGACAAGGACCATTATGTTCTCATACAAATAAACAGTTTAGGTCTTTGTACCCTTTCACTCATGTCATGATAAACCCTGTCTTATGTTTCAGAGTCATCATTTATTTCTTCATCTTGATTGAGTCTGTGGTGCTCCCACCTCCAGGCAGTCCACTCTGTCTCTCCTTGCCATCCATACAGCCAGCTGTCAGTTCTCTTCTGCTTCTGCTGTTTTTGCAGGTGCTGGGGTCCATCTGAGGTCACTTTTTAAACATTGCCTCCTAAGGGCACAGGAGCAGGCAATTCCAAATGTCAGAAGTCAAGCAGGTGAGGCAGAAGGCCAGCTTGGCTGAGCAGGGATTTTCTCTTGGAAATAAGGCAAAAAAGGAAGGTGTATCGCCAGTGGAAGCAAGGTCAAGTGGCATGGGAAGAATACAGAGATGCTGCTTGCCATTGTAGGGAGAAAAATTGTGTGATCAAAGCTCAACTGGAGTTGAAGCTGCCAGAAATGTGGGGGACAATACAAAGAGTTTTTTCTAATGTATCAATGGCAATAGGCAGTATAGAAATATCATTGGCCCATTCCAGCATGAAGATGGTCACCTCATAAACAGGGACGGAGACAAGGCAGAGGTGTTTAACGCTTTCTTTGCCTCTGTCTTCAACACAGATGATGGACCAAGGGGGTCACAGTGCCCTGAGCTGGAGGACCATGACTGCGAGAATGATCAACTCCCAGTCGACCCTGAAATTGTGCGGAATCTGCTCCAGCTGGATCCCTACAAATCTATGAGGCCTGATGGGATTCATCCAAGAATCCTCAAATTGCTGGCTGATGTCATTGCAAAGCCTATACTCAATGATTTTTGAGTGGTCTTGGGAATCTGGAGAGGTCCCAGCTGACTGGAGGCTGGCAAATGTTGTCCCAATTTTCAAAAGGGCTAAAAAGCAGGACCCTGGAAACTACATGCCTGTCAGTCTCACTTCAGTGACTAGTAAAGTTATGGAGAAGATTATTCTGGGAGGTATTGAAAAACACCTAAAAGACAATGCAATCATTGGTCACAGCCAGCGCAGCTTCATGAGAGGAAGGTCCCGCTTATCAAACCTGATTTCCTTTTATGACAAAGTAACTTGCCCAGTTGATCAAGGGAAGCCAGTTGGAGTCATCTTTTTGGATTTCAGTAAAGCTTTCCATACTGTCTCTCACAGGATCCTTTTGGACAAAATGTCCAGCACACAGCTGGATAAACACATCACATGGTGGGTGAGCAATTGGCTCACAGGTTGAGCACAGAAGATAATAGTGAATGAGGTAGCATCAGACTGGTGACCTGTCACTAGTGGGGTTCCACAGGGCTCCATCTTGGGCCCTGTGCTCTTCACCATCTTCATAAATGACTTGGATACAGGACAGGAAGGGATACTAAGCAAGTTTGCAGATGACACAAAACTCGGAGGAGCTGTTGACTCTCTCGAAGGCAGGGAGGCTCTGCAGAGAGAGCCTCTGCAGAGGACTGGGCAATCACCAACCGTATGAAGTTCAACAAGGGGAAGTGCCAAATTTTGCACTTGGGATGGGGCAACCCTGGATATATGTACAGACTGGGGAATGAGATGCTGGAAAGCAGTGTTGTGGAAAGGGACCTGGGGGTCCTGGTCAATGGCAAGTTGAATATGAGTCAGCTGCCCTGGCAGCCAGGAGATCCAACCATGTCCTCTGGGGCATCAGGCAAAGCATCACCAGCTGGTTGAGGGAGAAGATTGTCCCGCTCTGCTCTGGACTGGGGCGGCCTCACCTTGAATATTGTGTGGGGTTTTGGTACTACAATATAAGAAAGATATTAAGCCACTAGAGAGTGTCCAAAGGAGAGCAACAACAATGGTGAAGGGCCTTGAGTGGAAGCTGTATGAGGAGCAGCTGAGGTCACTTGGTCTGTTCAGCCTGGAGAAGAGGAGAGTGAGGGGAGACCTCATTGCAGTCTACAACTTCCTTGTGAGGGGAAGAGAAGGGGCAGACACTGATCTCTTCTCTATGGTGACCAGTGACAGAACCCAAGGGAATGGCCTGAAGTTGTGTCAGAGGAGGTTTAGGTTGGACATTAGAAAGAGATTCTTCCCCTAGAAGGTGGTTGGGCACTGGAACAGGCTCCCCAGGGACCTGGTCACAGCACAAACCCTGACAGAGTTCAAGAAGCGTTTGGACAATACTCTCAGGCACAAGGTGTGACTCTTGGGATGGTCCTGTACAGGGCTGGGAGTTGTACTCAATAATTGTTGTGGGTCCTTTCCAACTCGGCAACTGTGATTCTGCTCTAAGTCTTCCTCTCTGCTTCAAGAAAATCCTTTTGTAATCTTAGAGAGCAGGAAAGTTAGAGCGTAATTTTAAGAGACCACTGCAGAGAGTTGAATTGGTTTTATTTTGCTTGGGGATTCCCAGGATTTGCTTTCACGATAGCTGTGGAAGCAGAAGTACTACCACTTCCAACCTGGTTTCTTCTCACTAAGGGCTGCATGTCTTACACATGGCAGTACCCCCACTGTCCTGCCACTCTTGCATTGATTTTTGCTATGTCAGAGAAAAAACAAAACAAATGTCATAATAAACATAGTAAGGACTATTGTTCTATAAGCAGAAGGATATAGTATCATCACAGCCTGAATCTATATGAGGATGGTGTGGTTTTAGATTGACTGATACATTTAAAATCATTCAAAGAATAGGCTTTAGTTGTTTTGCTATTTAATACAAAAATAGTCAAAACTGCCTATTACTTCTGGTGGTACTAGAATTTAATTATTTCTGTCACAGAGAAGATGAATTGCACTTATTTTGGATAGTCAATACATGCCAGATGAAGGTGTGCTGTGCTCTGCCCCACCCAGTTCACTCTACCTTGTTAGCGTGCTCTTCTGCAGATCACCAGAGATATCAGCAAAGGTATCAGCAATTCACGCCAAGTCAAGATTTTTGTCTGGTATATCCCTCTATCATTTCCTGTCTACTACATAAGGCTGCTTTTCCAATACAGGGGAGCAAGTGCTGTTGGCTACAAGCTTTGTTTTTACTTGTGTTTATATGGACCTCAACCATGGACCAGTAGCAGGTACAAAAAACACTGAAAAGATATGGATGTAGTTAGTCATAAATAACCTCCACATGGCTTTGACTAATACTTTCCTCATAAGAAAATAATGTGTCTTAGTAGCCTGATAATAGTAAAAGATTCTTTTCAGGAAAGTTGAAGAAAGTGGTTTTTATTTGCAAGCAGGAAGTGCATCAAAACAAGAGCCTTTTAAAGTTGCTTTCTACAATTTCAATTGCATTCTCTCATACAACTATCCTGTAAAAGCAATGCTAATTGCTAGGATTAAAGTTGTAGTTTATTGGTCAGTAATTGCATCAATCGTGTCAAAATGTACTATTCTTTACAAATATGTAGGTTATGGTAATATCCTAAATGCTGAAGAAAAATAAAGAAAAGTACACATCACAGACCACAGAGAAAATTCCACTGCATTCCATGGTGCAGCATGCACAGGCCAGGACACCAAAAAGCCACCTCTAGCATATGAAGAGCATATTTGTAATGCGGGGGTAACACCAGGGAGGGTGGGGGGAAGAAACTCATATACTAAACTGTGCAACACAGGAGAAATTACAGCCAACCATGATAGCATAATGGTTTTTTTGGTTTGTTGTTGTCATTGTTGTTGTTTTTAGATATTCACATAGTATCCATGTCTCACATAATTTCTCAGCTTTTGGATGGACCTCTCACAATAAGTGGCTAAATAAGCTGTGCTGGGAGCCACAGCCACCTGTGGCTATCGCCTTACCTCCCCATTCTCTGGGATCCTGTTTGGTCTCCTGTTACAACCATATTGTGCTCATTCATGCAGTCATTTTCTAAACCGGTCTGGCTGCTCAAAGTGAGCAGTATCTTGTAAGTCTCTCTGGTGAGGGCACTGCAGGATCCTCACTTGCTGGAGCCTGGCAAGTCAATGGAAATTGTGACCAATACCCCCCAGCCCAGCATTCAGCCCTGAACATTCACCCCCTCCTCTGAGGATCAATGGCGCTTGGGGTTTGTCATGTTATGAGGTTTCACAGAGCTTGGAGCACCCTGGCTACCAAGAGGTGAGCCAGGGATTAAGGTTACTTGTTCTGTGAAAATATTTTGGCAGCCATGCCAGCATAAGCCTTCTTCCTGCCTTCTCCCTGCCACCCTGGCACTGCCTCTTGCCAACCCCTTTGTGCAGCTGTCTGCTGGGTGGGGCAGTGCAGCCACACACATGCCCGTGCTGGCACAGATGGCTGTGGCCACACAGCTAGCCCAACAGAGGGTCATGCAGGGTGGGAAGTAGGGACGAGGCAGTGAGAGAGGCAGCCTAGCAGTGGGAAAGCCTCTGCCCCAAGAAGTCTACCAAAATGTGACCAAATGTGCTCCTCATCCCACAGCTATTTTAGTGAGTTTAAAAAAGAAGGACTTGCCTGCCTACTTGAGCTGGTTACACAGCTGAAGTGGCAGGGTTGTGTCTTTAACAATGCCCTGCACAACTGCAAGCAAGTTGGGCTGGTCTTGGCACCTGGTCTGGATCTCTGAATATCCCTATTCAGGGGTAGCTATTGTACCTTGAGCTCATGCTTCACCTGAAGCCAAGTGAATTTTCCAAGTTCAGACATGCTCTCTGGGTGTTCATGTCTTTAATTATATAGAAGATTATATGGATGGCTAAAAATTTGCAGAATTGGGCCCTTAACCATTGTCCTAAATGTGGTTTTGCAACAAATACCACACTGTTATTTCAGAGATTCCCAAAAAAAAAACCCAGGACAACCAGGGATTTTCATGACAGCAGCCTGCAGGAGCCTGCCATGCAGCTGGGGACAGAGGTGACACCAGACAGGGGTATTTGCAGGAGATTTTGGCCAGAGGTCGCAGTG